AACGAATCGGTTTCTAATTCTTCGGTTTTTTTTCTTTTCAACTTATTTTCAGGTTTCGACTTGCCAGACATTATCACTTGACTAATTTTGAATTTATAAACAAACAGGATGGGAAAATAATGTAAACAATATATCGGGAAAATAACTGACATTTCTTTCAAAAAAAAAAAAAAAAAAAAAAAAAAAAAAAAAAAAAATCAACACAAACAAATGACTTAAAAAATTCCGGAATATGCCTTTTTCTCGCTGGCATAAAAAATAAATTTTTTTTTTTTTTTTTATTTATTTTGGGCCTCTAACACACACACACACGCACGCACGCACGCACAACTATTTTAATTATTAATATTTTGTAAAAATTTCATCATCATCATTATTAATTTTTGTTCACATTCATTTTTCACCCCCCCCTCCCCACACGACCGTATAGTCATTTCATTAACGTGTATCCATGATGTATTTAAATCTACCCTTATTGTTACACTTATAGTTATACTTATTATTATACGTACATCAACTTCTTTATCGTTGGTGGTAGGACTAATTATTGGAATGGTAGGAACGGCAGTATCAATAAAACTTGACGATATAGCAACTACCGAACTTGAACCGTTACTTGGACTCGAGTTACCAAATGAGGCTACACTACTTGTATTTGCGTTATTGTAGGCTGTTCCTGAAAATTTCAAACGCATTAAATTTTTTTTTCCCACACACGCACGCACGCACGCACGCACGCAGCAAATATATCGTCCCGTCCCGTCCCCCCCCACCCCCACAAAACATATTCAACCAAAATTTTACTGTTACCTGAGACTGTGGAAGGTCCACTTGTTGTATTAGAGGGAGGCTGTTGTTTTTTCTTTAGAGCTTCTTTGTAACATAACGAACAAAGACCATCCGTGGCGGTAGAACCGTAAAATCCACAACCGCTTCTGCATTGGGCTTGCATAGGATTCGATTCGCGCTCCATTATTAATTATTAATTATTATTATTATTATTAATTAAAACGTATTATTTAATTTTTATAAAAGTAAATTTGTTAAATTGTTTCCTAATCACTAAATCTATTTATTTTTTTAATAAACACTAAAAAGTTTTTAATATTTTTAAATATTTTCACTCATCGACCACACTACGTGTACGTGTTTGTTCAAATTAAAAAAAAAAATACTTTTTAATTTAAAATGTCAACTAACTGTGATGAAACTTTTTTTTTTTTTTTTTTTTTTTGCGGAATCAATCAAACAAACGAACGAACAAACAAACAAACAGGAAAAAAAGAAAAAAAAAAAAAAAAAAAAAGGAGAAAAAAAAAAGGAAAAAAAAAGGAAAAATAAGGGGAGAAAAAAAAAGGAAAAAAAAAAAAAAAAAAATTTATATCCCAGTTTCCCCTGCCAAATTGGTCCCCCCTTCAATTTTGACATCAAAGTTTTTTTTTTCCCCCCCTTAAAAAAAAAAAAAAAAATTCAAAACGAGTGTCAAAAATGGGGGGGGCAATGGCCGCTACTGCTAATAGGTGCTGAAAATAAAAAAGAAAAAAAAAAATTACAATTTTATTTAAAGTTACTTGAAATATTATACAAGACATCATTTGAAAAAACGTTTTGACTTAAAAAATTGCAAGGGTCTGTGTCTTTTATGCATGCATACTTTTTCTTTAGCAGAAGACAAAAAAAAAAAAAAAAAATAAAGAATAAACAATCAATCGCAATCGAGATAACAGAAAATAAATTAACAATAAATTTAAAATAATAACAATAACAACAATAAATAATCAGAAATTTTTTTTTTTTAACGAATCAACAAACTCTTCCAAAATAATAATAATATTAATATAAATTATTTTATTATAAAAAATATTGCGCAATTTATTTTATTTATTTTTTTTTCACGGGAATTAAAAACTTAAAAATACATTTACATTATCACCGCCATAGATCACACATTTTAATAAAATAATCTCAATTGTTAAAAATCCTAACAACGCAATTACATTTAAAATGGCATTGAATTAATTTTTGATTATTATTATTATTATTATTATTATTATTATTATTATTATTATTATTATTATTATTATTATTATTACTAAAAACAATCTTATTTACACATACTCACATTTGCAAAAAAAAAATAATAATAATAAATCAGAAACTTTTTCTTTTACTTAAATTTTTTTTTTTAATACAAATAAATTTTATATATAAATGTGCACCACTGTGACGTCACAAATTATTCCTTCGTGATAAAAAAAAAAAAAAAAAAAATTCTTTCTTTTGACTACATTAAAAAATTAAAAAAAAAAAAATAATTTTTGTCAATGATAAAATTTTCTAAAAACAAATATTATTTCCTCAACTTGTACGCAACAAACAATTCGTAAATTAAACAAAAACAAAAATTAAATGGCACACAACCTAAAAGTTTGGACATCACTAAGAGACTAAATGGGAAAATAGATAGATAGATAGAGAGAGAGAGAGAGAGAGATAGATTGGATCATCAAAATACAAAGAAATCACTTGCTAGGAAATACTGGTCGACCTTGTGTTCTCATGCCAAAATACAAAACTGTTTTTCTTCTTCTTCTCCTTCTTCTCTCTCTCTCTTTCTTTTTTTTTTTTCTTCTTCTTCTTCGAATCGCGGGCATTGATCGCTAAGAAATCATCTTATTTATTGATTTAAATTCTTTTATTATTATTATTATTTTATTTTTTATTTTTTAAAATAATTAAATTAAAAACATTAACAATTTTTTTTTTTTTATCAATAATAAACGCGCACACACACCAACCAACTTCAGACTACTTGCAACTTCAAGTCTTGCATTGACATTTTTACAATACAAAATTAAATGATTTTTAATTTGTAAATAAGTCAATTGTAAAGAAAAAAATAATAACTTAATTCAATTTTATAAATTGAAAGACAAAGACCCACCAATATTATTACCATTGAGTAATTTTGACTAACTAAACCCCCCTCCCCTCCCCTCCCCCCATCCTTCCTTCCTTCCACATACGCATTATTTAAATGTATACTACTACTATTAAGTAATAATCATAATTTTTTTTGTAATTTCAAACAAAAGAAAGTATACAACAACAACAACAACAACAACAACAACTTTACAAAAAAAAAAAAAAAACTCTTGATTACAAAAATTAATTTCGAGTGTACTGTGTGTGCTGTGCTATGCGAATGTTTTATCAATTCCAACTTTTTTCTTTTTTTTCATTGATATAATTTTTTCATTTTATTATTATTATTATTATTATTCTGTGAAACAATGAGTATTTGCTAAAAAAAAAAGAATAAAATTGGCATGAATCAGTTTTTTTCGATAACTGATAATCAAAATCTGTTTACAATAACAAATACATACATATATAATTAATTCCATCAACCCTCATTTTTCCAATACTATACATAAATATTTATAATTCACCAATAATAAAATTTATAATATAATCATACAAATAATAATAATAATAATAATAATAATAATAATAATAATAATAATACCATGTATAAACATGATAACCCGAAAAAAGAAAAGAAACAATACTACAAAATTTTATTTATTGTTTTTATTTAAACATTCAAACTCAATTATTATTATTATCAATCACCAATTATTGAAAAGTTCAAAGTCCTCGACTGATTGATAGGTGATTGATAAAGAAAAATGACGCACACACGCACTCTATATAAATATACAAAAGCTTTTTAAAAAAATAAAAAAATTCAAATCGATGAGAAAAATTTTAAAAAATTTAAATTTAACAAAATTTTTTTTTACATTATGAGCTTGCAAAAAAAAAAAAAAAAAAAAAAAAAAAAAAACTTGTAGAAAAACTTTTCCTTTGTGAATCATACACATATAAAGAACACAAATGCTTTGTTCAAAACACTAAACTTAAATATCGCATGTGTACACACACACACACACACACTTTTGAGCCAACATTTATAAAGAACAGATAATGATAATAATAATAATAACATCTATCACACCATAATTAAAATCATCATTTGATAAAAATTATTTTTTATTACAATATTTCATCATTTAAAGTAAATTTTATTATTAAATATGTTTTCTTTTTTTTAATAAAAAAAAAAATATTGCTCAAGTATATGTAAAATATTTTCATAGTCTCGTTTGGAGTGACCTGCTTAAAAAAAATTGACATTTTTTTTTTTATCTTTAACCATTTTTCCATCTTTGATGAAAGAACCAAAAAAAAAAAAAAAAAAAAAAACTGTTAATAGAAAATTAAAAGTATAAACATATGCTTTACAATATTATATAAAGAGAAAATTAATAATCTCAGATACTACTCAAAGTTTTACGTAAGCATTCAAATGAAAATGTTTTACTTTTATATATTACCATGTGACAAATAAATTTTCCTATTGCGATTTTTCAACACGTATAAAAAATCCATATCAGAAAAAAATCACTTTTGAAAAAAAATAAATAAAAAAATAAAAAAGAGTCGCGATAACGTTAAAAATTATTTTTTTTTTTTTACAAAATGTTTTTTTGTTTTGAAAAAAAAAAAAAAAAAAAAAAAAAAAATACTTCGACCAAAACAACAATTCTTTCACTCGCTTTACGAAAAATTTTTAAGGTGATGAAGTAGTTTCGACGCAAAAGCCAACTGCGCACCGAGATGTCGTAACATGTCTAACCGAGATATTAAGCATTTTACTTGAGACTCCCCAAAAAAACAAAAGAACACAGATCCAAATTTTTTTTATTTATTATTTTTTTAAATTTTTTTTCCTTTTCTTTTTTTCTATTACAGACCTTTTTTTTTTTTTTTTTTTTTTTTTAATATTCGATTACTTTATTTAAAAAATAAATAATTCAATTTTTAAAATAATCTTAATCTACAGGAAGCATTAGAAAATTTCCAAAAAAAAAAAAAAGCAGGTGAATAAGTAATTACCGTTACAAAAATTCACGTATCAAAATAATATTAAGAAAATAAAAAATAATTCAAATTATAATTATAATACTTTTTCTTAAATAAACAAACATTTTTCTCTCTCTCTCTCTCTCTCTCTCTTAGAACAAGTTTTTCGACAAAAATTGCAAAGTTAAAAAAAGGTTAGTATACACATTTTCACATTGACAATGAGAGCAGTAAATGCTTTTTTATCTTTCATTTCAAAATAACTCTCTCTAAGGTGATACAATTTTTTGCAAAATTACATAACATTTTGTAGTCGCAAAACAATTATTGCAATTTCTATCAAGTTTTACTCTCGACAACTTTACCAATGTCGTAAAATGCTTTTTTTTTTTAAAAAATATAAACCTTAATTTTAATAAACCTTTTTTTAATCGATTTCTGAAAATAAAATTATTAATAAATAAATAAATAAATATAAATATATATATATATATATATATATATATATATATATATATATATATAACATTAGCCCTTACATTAGCATGTATTATTTAAGCATGTAATGTATAGGATAATTAAATTTAAAAAAAAAAAAACTAAAAATTAATCTTGAATTACTCTCTTTCCATAATTATGCAAGGATAAAGCATTATGTGTGTACAGATACATACATTATAGAATTCATAATATCATGCCATCAAGCAATAATTTCATGCACTGATTAGGATATAAAAATAATTGAATTTGGAAATTGTGTGAATGACAAAACAAAATATTTTACTATGATGAATTGGTTTTTAAAAAAAAAAATTAAAAAACAAATTAATATGGGTGAGAAATTTTTACCTTTTGCAATTGTATTAGTAAAGCCCGACAATAGTAATGCGGTTGTGGTCACTAGGTGATCTGATGAACGATATTTGAATGAATATAGTATAACTTCATTTGTACAAGTACCTGAGTAATTATTAATAATAATAAAAATTTAATATTTCAGCCTTGCAAAATAAAAATGGAATTTTCTTCGGGAATAAATATCGACTCAGACAATATATGCAAAAAATTTTTTAGAAGCCTAAAAAGTATTTTCTTTTCTAAAAATAAAAACAAAAGAGCAAATTTTTAATTTTTTTTTTTTTTTTTTTTTAAATTAAATATGACAAATAATTTTTAAGAGGAAAAAAAAAAAAAAAAAAAAAAATTTTTTTTAGATCTCACAAATAGGTAAAAAAAAAAAGCTACTCGATAAGTATTAAGCAAGTTATGAAATGAAATCCCAGGAAAACAAAATGAAACTATAATGAAACTTCTACTAAAAAGTAGCCAATGAATTGCAAAAATTATTACTTGTTTGCACAATTCAATCACTGCACACAGTATAACGTTAGTTAAAAAAAATATTTAAAAAAAAAATTATTTAAACACCGCAATATAAAATGTAAATTTAAAAAAAAAAAAAAAAAAAGTCAACTTAAAAAATTCACTTCCAGTGAAATTTTGGAAAAACCAATTAATCACATGAATGAAATATACCCCAAAATAATTTCTCAAAAATATATGCAATGAGTCTCAAGGTCAGCGAAACAAATAAAAAACCAAAAGAAATTAACAGTGTAATTGTTACTTAAAAAAAAAAAAAATTGATAGTATTTGAAAAAAGCAGATTTTTTTTTTTTTTTTTTAATAAGTTTATATTTTTTTGGTTTGAAGTGTTCAGGCTTTGGAAATATTAAGCGTATGGCCTTGAAGAATTACTAACAATTGCACAGCTGTGGTACTTAATTTTAAAATTGAAACATTAATTTACATAAATTTAAACTGAAAACTTTAACTTTAGTAAACAATAATAAAAGATAGAACTAATAAAATACAACTGCGTAAAATATAATTTTATTAGTCATTGGAAGATTTCAATTGCAATAAGATGGCTGCCATAAAATTTTAGGCCATCTTCCTGAATTGCAAAGGTTGAAATATCAATCCAAATAACTTATTTTATATATTTCATCGCACTATATTTACTTTTATAAAACTCCATGATTTTCAAAATCGACAACAAACTTACTCAACTCAAATAATAATCCCAAGAAGCATAAAACATCCACTACTGATGACAAAGCACTCTATTATCACCACCAACTATTTTAACTACTGCGGTACTGCCAAATGCTAGTTCGAATGTCCTCCGTCAAAATCATACCAAGCATTTGTAGGTAGCGCTTCGAAAATAAAATGTTTTCGGGGCCTTATGTAATTCTCTAAAGTTGTACAACTTCCTTGGATGTTAAGTCTTTCATTAGGAATTTAAGAACTCCAAAATGAAACCAAAAGGTATGTTCTTTTAAAATTCCCCAAAATATTTTATGTAATTGTATTAAAAATTAATATTACTTTTTTCTTTTTCTCCTACAGAAATAGAACATATTTTTAATAACTATATGGAAAGTTTTCCAAACGTTTCGGCGGGTAGAGCTGCTATCAAAACGCTATTAACAGTTTTGGAACATGATAAATGTAAGTATTTTAAATTTTTATTATTGAAAATAAATATTTAAATATGCCAAGTAATTAATATTGTTTAATCAAAGTAGCACATTCTACTGCTATTATAACGAAATTCTATTTTATGTTTCTTCGTTAAAAATGGTCTTTTTTATTTTAACTTATTAATATAAATTTTGTATAAATTTTAAATTTGTAAATATAAGTGCTGCCCACATTTATATTTATATAAGTTATCAGAATTATTATTATGTTGTTTTCAGAATAAAATAATGTGTTTTTATTTATATAGAGTAATTATTATTAGTAATATTTTTAAGTTTATTATTATTATATATAGGAATTTTCCTAAAATAATTTTTAGGTATTTTTCAGCTGCCACTATTCAAGAGCTTCATTCAACATTTAGAAATGCCATTGAAGTAATGAAAAAATCAAAATTTTCAGTCACAGCTGTTGCTTCTGGTTGTGAATTATTTATGAGGTTTATCACCCTTGCAGCATTAGACCACAAGAACTTCCAAGAGTGCAAACAAGTAATGTTAAATCGTGGAAATTTATTTTTGGAAGAACTAAAATTTGCTAGAAGTAAAATAGCCAAACTCGCTTCTGGATTTATTACCGATGGTTCTGTAAGACAAACTTTTCTCAATTAATTTTTTTGTGTTTTAAAACTATTTTATAATTACTTTTATTTTTATTTTTTTTTTTTTCTAGAAAATATTAACTCACTCCAAGTCTAGAGTGGTATTGTTGGCAATGAAGGAAGCTGCAAACCTTAATAAAAGATTTGAAGTTTTTGTAACTACTTCTGCTCCTGATAATAGCGGGTGAGTTTTAAAGTCATTTTTTATTTGTTAATACAATATAAAAAAGTAATGCTAAATTTTATCAATTTGTTTTCAAGGAGAGATATGTGTAAAGAGTTAGAAAATTTAAATATTCCATGTACACTAATATTAGATTCTGCAGTAGGATATATAATGGAATCGATAGATATGGTTATGATGGGAGCTGAAGGGGTTGTTGAAAGTGGTGGCATTATTAATAAAATAGGGAGTTACACTATGGCTTTATGTGCAAGGGAAGCATCTAAACCTTTGTATGTATTGACAGAAAGTTTTAAATTTGTTAGACTGTATCCATTAAATCAAAGAGATTTACCAGCGGAATTTAAATTTACTTATTCATATGCAGGTAATGTTGGCAGCAATTAAAATTTTTCTTAATTTTAAATGTGTGTACCCAAATATATTAATGAATTTTTTTTTATTTTAGAAAAAGATCTTAAGAAAGCTGATCCTTTAGTTGATTATACACCTCCAATTTATATAACTTTATTATTTACTGATTTGGGTATTTTGACACCATCAGCTGTCAGCGATGAATTAATAAAACTTTATTTGTAAATTATTTATTAACTCATTAAATATTTCAGAAAAAATAAAAGTTTTATTATCTTAATCTGGATGTTCATTTCCTCATATGGTACTCATTAAAATGATGTTTTAACAGTTTTTATTATGTTTCAATGATAGTAATTAAAATAAGCATGCTCAATGCATATAATTCATAAAGTTTTAAATATATTATTGGAAAAATAATTATAATCGTCCCATTTTTATACTTTTACAGTTTTTTTTTTAATACCTAAAGAAGAATGTGTTTCAGTATTATAAGAAAATATATAAAATATTTCAATTTTTTATATGTTTTAAAATTGTTATTTTTATAAAGAATATTTGGCATTTAAAAATAGTCGAGGACATCTAATTTACATATTAAATTAAAACTCCTACAAGTACAAATTTGAAATATCGAATAGTATTTCATCTTTAGAAATGTAATTGTCACTTTTTTTAGAAAAAATGAATTTGTTAATATCATAATTAATTGAATTATTTACTTCATATAATTTAAATGGCTGACATACAAAATTAAAATCATAATAATCATTTAAAAAGCATAAAACATCTTCATAATTATTTAAACAATTAAATTTTCTTCTGATTTTTTTGGGAAGAATTTTTTCAAGCATAAAAACTAAATGATGATGAAATGTTGTAAAATGAATATTTGAATTTAATGATATGTCCACCCATTTTTTTACACACTCTAAAGGTGTTTCATTATAGCCTTGGAACAATGAGGGATTTTGAAGAAGACCTCTGGCTGACATCACACCTGTAAATAAAAAATAAAATAATCAGTTTTTATTTACAAAATAAAAATTAGTTTTAAAAAAGAAACAAATATTACACAGCTTTACTAGCTTTGAAAGAGTTTAAAATTAAAAATATGAATTATTCACCCTGACAACCAGTTAATTGCTGTAATAATTGTGCATCTTGTAAGGTTTTAACATCTCCATTAGCAATTATTGGAATTTGTACACTATCAACAATGTCTTTTATTGCTGCAATATTTACAGGTTCAGATCTTTGCTCTTTCGTTCTTCCATGGATAGTAAGAAATGTAACTCCAGTTTTTTCTAATTTTTTGCACAAATCAACTGTTGATTTAATGTCATTCAATAGTCTTAATTTAACAGAAACACTATAATTACAAGAAATTTGATTTTTGACATTTAACACAATATCTTTGATAGTTTCTGGCTCTGACAGTAATTGAGCACCTATTCCTATTTTCATAGCCCAACGTTGAGGACACCCACAGTTTAAATCTACTCCATCACTAAAAGGAAACACTAATTTTGCAGCTTCACTGAAATCAAATGTATTATTTGCCGCAAACTGAACAATTACGGGAGAATCGTTAGAACTAGTAGTGAATTCGTTGATCCTGGCTTTTTCAGATTTAATAAATGAATCAGCCATTATCATTGGAGTAAAGCACAGATCGCAATCGTATTGTCGTACTAAGCTGCGAAACTCCAACCTATCGAAATAGAACTAACATTAGGACTAGAGACTTCAAAATTATCAAGATTAGTCAATACTTACTTACTATACCTTACCATAGGTGCACAAACTTTAACTAACTTTTTCTTAGAAAATAAGTCAGATACACTCATGTTTCCTTAAAGTTTGTTGTAGATTAATTCGTTGCATTACTACGTTCTCGTACGAGTTACCTTTTACAATACTTTATTATGTTGGTAGTAATGTAATTGAGTTTTATAAGGAGTAAAATATCGAAAGCAATAAAAAAAATTTGTGCACAAGAAATAATTAAAATCTACGCTTAAAAATATTACAAAAAAAAGAAAGAATGGAAATCTGCACAAAACGATAATACTAATTTAAAATTGTTTTAAAATTATTGTTTTAAATTTTGTTTGTATTTATTTGTTACTGGGATGAGAGCACAATAATTATTTATTTTAAAGCAATGTAATTTATTTACGAAAATATTTTTTAGATTTATAAAAATTGTGGTGAATATAAAAAAATAATGTTTTTTTTCAGTTTATTAAAAACTACGTTCATTAAAAAATTTCTGGCGGGGAAATTTGAATGACGTCACGCAAGTTGGCCAACATCATCAGTTTAATTTAAGATGCATTCAGTTAAGTAACAGTGTTTGAGTTTTTTTTTTTGGTAAATTAATTCAAATATTTTAATAGGAATTTTTATATTTATAAATGTAATATCTCAGTGTAATTAAGATGCCGTCAGTTGAAGTGTTGGAAGAAAACAGTAATACTGATACTCAGGCAGTTATTGGTATTATATACCCTCCTCCTGAGGTCAGAAGTATCCTTTACATTGTAAATGTTTATTATAATCATAAAGTATTTTTTATTAAATAAAAAGTACATTTTTAAAAATTATTAATGAATTTTTTTTTTTTTTTAACATTAAAAATGTACTTTATTGAAAAATTAATTTATAATTATTATTTAAATCTTAACTTTGTCAGACATTGTTGACAAAACTGCCAGTTTTGTCGCGAGAAATGGACCAGAATTTGAAGCTAGAATTCGACAAAATGAGCTGGGAAATCCAAAGTTTAATTTTCTTAATTCCGGAGATCCTTACAATGCTTATTATCAGCATAGAGTCAAAGATATTCGAGAAGGAAAAGGTTTGAATAAAATTATTTTATTTGTTTTATTGACTTATATTTATACTAAAATTTAAATCTTTTATTATCGTAAGTATTAAAATTAATTTTATTTTACTAAATAATGATTTGTAAAAACGTATATTTTTAGGAGATCAATTTCATCAATCTTTTCAAAAAACTCATAGTACATCAGTTCACCAAAAGCAGCAAGAAATATTAAAACAAGTTGCAGAACAACCATTTGTTCCTAAAGATCCTCCTCCTGAATTTGAATTTTTAGCAGATCCACCTTCTATTTCTGCATTAGATTTGGATATTGTAAAATTAACTGCTCAATTTGTCGCAAGAAACGGAAGAACTTTTTTAACCAATTTAATGAACAGAGAACAAAGAAATTTTCAGTTCGATTTTTTAAGACCACAGCATTCTTTGTTTGTCTATTTCACAGTTTTATTAAAACAATACACCAAAGTAAGTAATTTACAAGAATGTTGGGAAAAGTCATACTTAACTAAATCATTAATTTCACTTTTAATAAAATAAAATTTGGTCAATAAGTTAATGATACTTAAACGTTTAATTGTAAATTTATTAATTATAGGTTTTGCTTCCTCCAAAAGATTTAATGTCCAAACTGAAAGAAGAAAGTGAATCGATGAGTAAAATATTAGAACAAGTCAAATATAAGGCTGAATGGATAAAATACCAGGAACAACAAAAGCAGAAAGAAGAGGAAGCTTTAGAAAAAGAAAGAGGTTAAAATAATTGTATAAAAGAAATAGTTTTAAAAAATTCTTTATTAAGTAAATACATTAAATAAAAGTAAATAATGTTTATTAATACTTTCGATTTTAGTTGCATATGCCCAAATAGATTGGCATGACTTTGTTGTCGTTGAAACAGTAGATTATCAACCGCATGAAACAGGAAATTTTCCAGCTCCTACAACTCCAGATGAAGTTGGAGCTAGAGTTTTAATGCAGGAAAGAATGGAGGATGGAGAAGAAAATGAAATGCAAATGGGATCGGAACCTGAGGAAGAATTAGACGATAATGAGGATGAAGATGATAGGCAAGATTTAGATGATCAAGAAGATGAAACTGAAGATTTGGCCATAATGGAAGATTTGACTTTAGAAAAAGGAGCAAAAGATGACAATCAGGTTATAAGATTAATGATACAAAAAATTTTTGACAATATACAAATTTAAATAAAAAAAAAACTTTAATATAAAAAATATTAATTTTTATTTTAGGTTCAAGATATGGAAGAAGATTCTTCATCGGAAGATGAATCTGATAAAATTAATAAAATTACAAATAGTCAAGCTACTTCTAAAGTAACAAAAGTTATAGCCATTTCAAAAGATGGAAACAGTCAACCGTTACCTCTTCCACCTTCGTTAGATAAAGTTGTAATTAAAAAAGGATATGATCCTAAACAAGGTTAATATTTAAAATTTTTTTTTTATAATTAAATGATATTGAATGATTATTAATTAATTTCTTTTTATAATTAATATTTTTAATTAGCTTCGAAAAAACTGGCGAATCTACCTCCGGATGAATACCTTATTTCTCCAATCAATGGAGAAAGAATTCCTGTAAGTAAAGTGCAGGAACACATGAGGATAGGTTTATTAGATCCACGTTGGGTAGAACAGCGTGACCGGCAGATTCAAGAAAAAATGAATCAGGAAACCGTATATGCTCCAGGTACAGGAATTTTTTTTAAATATTTATTTTTTCAAAGATATTTAACGCAGATATTTTAAATTACTTTTATTTTTCTTTTCAGGTGCTGCCATCGAAGCTAGTTTAAAACAATTAGCCGAACGTCGTACTGATATATTTGGTGTCGGTGATGAAGAAACAGCTATCGGTAAGAAAATTGGAGAGGAAGACAAAAAAAAAGATGATAAAGTTACTTGGGACGGACATACTTCTAGCGTGGAAGCTGCAACAAGAGCGGCTCGAGCTAACATTACTCTTGAAGATCAGGTAAAAATATCAAATTAGATAAAATCTGAAAAATTTTAGAGAGAAAGTTCTAAAATTCCTAATAGTAAAATTATTATAAAAACTTCAGAACCAGATAAAGATATTCAAAAGTGTAATAACAAATCTTTACAGATTCATCAAATTCATAAAGTTAAAGGTTTATTGCCTGATGAAGAAAAAGAGAAAATTGGACCAAAACCTGCTACAAATCGAAGAGCTGGAGCAGGTCAAATAACTTCACCCGATGGCAAAATATCAAAACAAGTTGCTCCTCTTCCAAAACAAACACAAGGTGCAACTTTAAAATCGGCACCTGTACCTCAAAAGCCACTTCCACCAAAGCCAAATCCTGCTCCTCCTCCACAACAACCTCCCATTGCGATGACTCCTATACCACCACCCCCTGGTATGATACCTCAGAATCCTATGATGATGATGGCACCGATCAGACAACCAATCATGGGTAATTATCTTTTTTTTTTTTTTTTTTCATATATTGAAATTAAAACATTCATTTTAATATAAAATTTTGTGTCAGGTTTCCCTGTTCCTGGACCTCCTGGTTTAGCACCTCCGGGTATGGCTCCTCCCGGACTGGCTCCACCAGGCTTAACTATGCCGACTCCGACTTTCATCGCACCTCCCGGAACGATTCCAGAGCCACCGGGCCAGGCTATGAAACACGTAGCATCTTCAATGATGGAAGAAGAAGAAACTGTACCGGCGAAAAAGCAACGAACGGAAGAAACGTTACTTCCCGAAAGTGAATTCCTTAACAAGTACAAGGTAAGTTTTTTTTTTTTATATATATATCCTGGAACAGTCGAGATTTTTTCAGTTATTCCCTTTACTTTAAGTTAGAATTGCTCAAGGAAGTTTATGGCAATGTTAGGATCAATCGACAATTTATAAATTTTTGTTTTTTTTTCCGTTAAAAATAATTTTAGAACAAGCCAATCGTGGTTAAAGTATTGGTTCCCATGACTCAAGAGAAACCCGAATGGAAACTTAACGGTCAGTTAATATCAATGATTTTACCATTGACGGATTCGGTAGCCGTGGTAAAGTCAAAAGTTCACGAGGAAACGGGAATGCCACCGGGAAAGCAAAAAATACACCTCGAAGGTTTATTTTTAAAAGATTCAAATTCTTTAGCTTATTATAATATATTGCCGGGAACGATACTCCAGTTACAAATCAAGGAAAGAGGTGGTAGAAAAAAATAAATTTTAAATTTGAACAAAAATGAAAACAATTTTCGACGTGTCAATAATTTAATATCTATTACGTAAATGCGAAAGGGGCCCCTTTTTGAAAACCGTTAAAAATTTCAAATTATATTTATAATAATGAGAAAGTCATTTTAATATTGTTTGTTTTTTAACTAAAAGTTATAAAATGGCATTGAATTACATTTAAGAAAAATATTTTTTACTTACACAACTCTTAATTTTTAAATTATTATCTATACTTTTAAATATTTTAATTAGATTTATCCCAAGATAATCTGAATGTATTGCGTTACATACTTTGTAGGGGACAAGAAAAATTACGATATTTTTTTTTTTTAATTGTATTTTTTATCAAAAAAAATAAAGTCATTGTTTAAATCATGTTTGTTTTTTTTATTATTTTATTTTATTTTATCAAATTAATAATAATAATAAATAAGAAAAAATTTCGAATAAAAAATATTTCTTAACAAAAAAAACTGAGTTAAATTAAATACTGAGCAGATTTGAACGATTTAAAAAAAAAAGTTAAAAAATTTTTTTTTCGTAAAGGAACAAATTATTATACTAATTGTTTATATAAAATAATAAATTTCACAAAGAAATTTTATAATTGTATGATGATAAGCACATTTACAAAAGTATGTTTACATATCATTGTACATAAATAAATGTAGTTAGTGGTTTGTTTTAATTGTTTCAATCTAATGTTACTATATTGATAATGACTGCCGATAGCTTCTCTAAATTCAATGTTACTTTTTTTATTAAGTATGATTATTGTTTAAAAATTTTTTCTTGTTCCTTAGTTTTGTAAAACTGAAACAAAAAGAAAAAGAAAAAGAAATTTATCAATCAATTTCAATGAAAGAGAGCATTGTACATAATCAATGTGTAGCTTATTTTTTAATATGTTTTTTTTTTTACAAATATAACCTTGGGCTTATCTTTAATAATGAATAATAGTTTACTAAATGATATTGAAAAAACAATTTTAATCTATTAATTTATTTTTGAAATTAATTTACTATTTAATAAAAGTTTAAATTAAATTCTCTTAAAGAAGAAAAAAAAATATAAGTAAAAAGTCACATTTAAGTAATAAATTTAAAAAAAGTAAATTAATTTTGTTTTTCATTCGAAATCTACGAAAGAAAATTAAGTTTTAAATATATATATATAAAGACCTTGGCTTTAAAAATATGTTTTTAGTTTCCTAATTAAAACTTAAAGACATTATAATAGCATAAAAATTTATACCTTATAATCTTTATTTTCATACTCATTCCAAGGCTCTGGATTTTTTATTCTATTCCATGTTACATCAGGTGATTTTATCGCACACCTTAATGGATAAAATATTGCCCCACCTAGACCTAAACCTAATACAGCAAATAATGGTATTAACTGAAAAAAAATAAATAAAAATTTATTGTAAAATAATGTATTTTGAAAAGAACTTGCAATTAACAAAAAAAAAAAAAAAAAATGCACCATTAAAAGTTAAGTAATAACAATAATTATTATGCTCATTTCGAACATAGAATTACAATTATTCCTTATAAACAAAAAAAAAAAATATTGATCCTTAATGGAAAAAGAAAAAAAAACTGCATAAATGCAGATAGCTTTGAAAACTGGTTGTAAAAATCATAAAAAAAAAAAAAAAATATTTTACGAATATCTATATAAAATATAGCAAGTTTGTTATGTAAAAACTATAATTTATAACAAGTAAAACTTACCGATGGATTTTTTTTTAAGGTTTTCCATGTCATTCCTGGCATAACCATTTTTGCTAAGTTTAACGCAGTTAATCTTGTGTTACTACCTTCAAAAAGACAGAGCTAAAGGCCAAAAATTGTAATGTTAAAAAAATTTGTCTGCTTTTTCAGGGCCCTTAATACTATTAATGTTAACTTAAAATTGGCTCAATACTAAATTTAGTGTTTCAAACTAAGCTTTTTTTTTTTTTTTTAAATAAATACGTAGTTTTGAGTTAATATTTACTCATTTTCGTTTTTTATTACGTAAATATTTATTATTCTACGTTGTGCGCTTTTTTTTAATATCTTGTCTGCAAGTTTTTTTTTTTTTTTGGAGTTTTCATTAGAGTTTTCAAAATACCCATAAATCTAGGTAAATGACCGTTATTTTAATTTTAACTTAACCTGTAAAAGTTGTATCTTAATGATGGATACTTCAGATAATTATCTCTCTATAGCTGAATTCATTAATAAAAATGATACTTGATAACTATAAAAGGATATTTTATTAATTTTAAATTTAATTAAAGTTTTTAAAAATATTTTTTATATTGTAAAAAAGTTATTTTGACATAATTTAACAAAACCGTAGTAAAATTTTATAAAAACAACATGTGGCAGTGAATGAAAACTTTTAATATTGCTTGTTTAATACAGAATGTAAATTAAATAAATTAATCAAATGTGAGTAAAATATGATTGGTAAACCATGCCTACTGAAGTGGTAGCAAACCAAGCAAAATAAGTCCACCAAGTTGTTAGACCGAACAAACCTCTGAAAACTTCGACTGTGAAAACCTGAAATTATTTTAAAACTTTTGGTAAGTAAATAAACTTTAACAAATAAAAAACAACAATTTTTAAATTTAAAAAAAAAAAAAAAATACCTGTTTAAGAGATTCTAATGCTAATGTAAATTGATGAGCTGATGCTTTTATACTAAAATTATCATACAAAAATTTATTTTCTTTGGCACTTTTATATGTATCAGATGGACACTCATATTCACTTTTTAAAATGTCTCCCGTCCATGTGAATCCACCTGCAAAAACATTTTTTTTTTTTTTTTTTTTTTTAATTGTTTACACATTTTAAAATTATTATTTAAAATAATTTCCATTTAATAATCATAAATCATAATAAATCATTGCAGCTTAAGTTTATTAAGTAAAATTAAGCTTAAATAAATATGTAAATTGTAATAATTGTCACTTACCTAAAGTTTTGTACATAAAAGTTAGAAAAAGACAAATAAGAATTGGTGCTGTGTATTGTAATGCGACAACACACAAATAATAAAATACTGCAGCAATACGTTTCTGGAGATCAGTATTTGTTATTCTACCAGCTTCTTTTTTAATTCTTTCAATTCGACTGTTTGCCATATTTAAGTAGCATTGTAAATAAAGTGGCATAAAGCAAAAATGAAGAGTGACAGCTAATAAAACGATAACAAGTCGTAAACTTTCAAAACTTGTCGAAGACATTCTGCAAAGTAATATATTGATATTAAAAATTGAAACAGATATGTGTATAATCTTAATCTTTTTCCATTAGGAAGAAACCTACAGTGGGTGTGACATTCCATGAAAAATTCTATTTGTAAGATAGTCCCGAGATATAGGCTTTATCCAAAGAATTGTAATAAAAAAAGGCATGGCAAAATTAACATTTAAAAGAATTTTTAGAGCCTTTTTATCAGTGCAATAGCTAAAAATTAAGAATGTATTTTAATAATAAAATTTTTAATAACAATTAAATAAGTATGATTCTTACTTTAAGGCATCCCAATGCATTCGGGCCATCCTTAAACCAGGAAATGTAAAAAGTGCTCCAATTATACCACACCAAAGAGCCAAAAAAAATTTTAATACAATTTTAGACGCAGGACCCCTAAAAAAATTGAAATAAATTGAATAGTTTGTAAAATTTTTAAATTTATTAATTGATTATAAGTTACTTACGAAGAGTCAATGCCCTGCCTTTCCAAAAATGCTATGGCATTTTTATTAAATACTTTGTAAGCAGTTTCTAACCCTAGTTCTAAACTATTTTCATCAATTATTAAAATTATCATTGCCAATACGAAATACACAAAACCTGTCACTATAACTGTAGATCTTTCTCCAGAATCTTCACTTTGAAAATATTGTCCAGTCAAAGAAAGTAAAACTTTCCTACAAAAGCTTAATCAAAGAAAATTATCATAAAGAATCTATTTATCGAGATTGCAAATCATAATTAAGTTTTTTTCAGTGAAAATTTTGATTTCTTATAACAACTTGTCAAATATTTAATTCTAAAGGATACATTGCAAAGCCAACTACTAGAAAACACCACAACATAGAGAGATTAACTTCATCTTGCGCTTGAAAAATAAGTTGATAAGTTTCAGTAAGAGTGTAAATGACGACAGCATAAACGGAAAAATCGATTAACCATTGGTATTCAGAATAAAATCTTAGATGCATCACATCCAAAGGCACAACTTTTGATTTTTTAAGCTAAAAAAAAATTTTTTTCAATTGTAATCTAATAGATAAATATGTTTGCAAAAACAAATATTTTCAGTGATACCTGAATATCAAGGTCTCTCGGAACATGAAAAGTATCTAAAACTTGCTGCTCGTTATCTTTTCCATATCTGTTCTTTTTATTATTTTTGTTATTTTTTTGAATTCCAGCAAGACTTCTAAGTTCTTCATTCGTAGGATGCAAGTAATGAATTAAACTAATAAAAATAAAAAATTAGTATTAACAGTATTAAAAGGACATAAGTAATATTAATCAATTATTTTTAGTAGTTGGTTTGTGTGAGTGCTTGATTGATGTTAAAATTCAATTTTAAAAAAATTGGGTTAAACAAAATTTATAATTTATATTTACCCAGTGGAACATAATAACCATTTCCCTAATGATAGATGATGTCCTAGTTTTTGAATAAAACTGACCATAATCAAAGTTAAAACTAGTTGAGTCCCTAAAAGTGCCTGAAATTAAATTTTTTACTTATTACTTTACCAAGTGGAAAAGGTATAAATAAAATAATAAATAATTTGTTATTAGAGTTAAATATTTATTTAATACAGTAACATAATATTCAACACGGTTATAATAAATAAATAAATTGATGTATTTTTATTATTAGGTCATCCTGTGCCATTCGGATTTTTTGATTTTTTCTTTTCCTTTTATAATTAAAAGTTTAATAATAATAAGAAAAATAAAAACGTACCATTGTTAATGAATGATATTTATTAAATTTAGAAGGTTTGAATTTGTCATACAATTTGAATCCAGGGCATATTTACAAATTTATTCTTGAATTATAAACAGTCGTTAAGCTTACATTTTATTCTTTGCTCAAGTTAAAATATCTTCTGCTTTTTTTCATTTTAAATTTAGCCAACAGAATTTTAACTCGTAAAATTCGCACGCCATAGATCTACTTAATTTTAGAATTTAAAAAAAAAAAAAAAAAACTAAGTTATATAATATAAATTTTTATTATTATTATATTTTTTTTTTTAAATACAATTTGTGACAATTAATTTCAAAAAAATTTATTATTTTACAAATTAAAATTTTCGGAAAATATGTGATTGATAATTATAAATTACGAAAACTTTACAATTTTTTACAAATGACTTAAATAAGAGTTTTTGATAAAATTAATGAATTAAAAAAATGATTTTATTTTTAAAAAAAAATTAATTAAAGGCAAAATTAATATTTAACAAATTTCCCGTTAGAAAAATTTTTAAGTACGTCCGTTGAGGACCTAATTGGCAACACCGCTTGTTTCATTGGACAAAGAGATTGCAAAAAAAAAAAACAAAATGTCGCGTTAATTCTACACAGATGAGAACTTTTAATCAGAAAATAAAATTATCATTGGGTTATATTAATGATTTTGGATATTTGTATGTGTTTTAAAAATGCTAAGTGAATGTAGATACATTGTATTTTTATTAATTTTGATTCCGTCTACGGAGACTGGTGAGTAACAGTAATTATTATTTTTATTTGAATTGTTTTATTTCAAATTAATTTGATTATTGTGTTTCATAAATCTTAAAACTGACATTAAATTCTAGGCTTCTTCTGTACTATTTTGAAATTTAAAACGTGTGTACAAATAAATTTTTTTGTTGTTGTTGTTGTTGTTGCAAAAGTCAATTATTCGTAAAATTTTTAAGAATGGTAAATTATTAATAACTTTTTTTTAAAAAAAAATGAAATGATACATAATTTAAAAATAAAGTTTATTTATTTTACAATTCTCATTACTGTGAAATACAAATTTTTTTTTATTTTTATTATTATTAAAATTTGTATCTTTCTCTTTAAAGCATTTTATTTTTTAGAATTTTAACATTGACTTATCATAGTGCAATTATCTAAAAATAGTTATTAATGAATTTAATATTCCTTTTTTGGTTCTTTAGTTTCAAGGAAATGGTAATGATTTTTATCATGTTTCTAAATCTCATTACTAATTTTTAACTTTATTTTATTAGTTTTTTGTATATGTATGTATATATTTACATGCATACATTTTTATATTTATTTATTAAATGTATATATGTGCGAATTAATGTATTTTTTACATTATTTATCACATCGAATTCATTGTAAAATATTTTCTTTAATTAATCAAATTTATTATATTCTATCTCGTATAAAATTATGTGAGAATTGCTTAAAATAAATTTACTCTTAAATTATGTGGTCTCTTTTTAAAAAATGACTCAAACTCACTGATCTGTGTCCATTTTGTTTCCAATTATGTATTGTTTACTTTGTTTTCACAGAAAAATAGGAAATAGTGTGAATGTTTTGGCCATTGGTTTTTTAGGTCTTTACCTAAAAAGCACAAAATATACTAATTTCTGTTTTTATAAATAAAAAAATATTAGGGTCTGCTTTTATTAAAAAAAAAAATATTAATGTCACTCACTTTTTTCAACGATTAAAATTATTTAAACTGAATAATAAGTAAAAAAAAAAAAAAAAAAAAAAATTTGTCACTCTAATTAACATTTTATTGTTTTTCAAAGGAAAAGCTTTTTTTTTTTTTATTATTATTTTTTGTCGATAACAAAAACAAAAGTGACAAATGTCAGTTTTTTTATTGCCAACTTTGGAATTAAAAGTTTTGTTTGTTTTTCTATATAATAGTAGTATATAATAGTTAATTAATAAAAATAAAAAATTGTAAATTTAAATATGTACAATAGTATTTTTGCAACTTTTTGCTCATATAAAACTATTTTCTTTTCATTTTAGCAAATCGATTGAATGAATATATTTTACATTATGAACCGCTTAATTATGACTCGGGAGAGATTCACAGAAATCATCAGAGAGCCAAAAGAAGTGTTGTAAAAGATCATTATGTTCATTTATCGTTTCGTTCTCACGGTAGAAATTTTAACCTGAGACTGAAAAGAGATTTGGATGTTTTTAGTGATAATTTGGTTGTTGATGGACTTCCATATGTTGACACTTCTCATATTTATAAAGGAAATCTTTTAGGTTAGTATTTTCAACCGCTAAAATTTATACCAATACACCATACTTTAAAATCAAATCTGCTACTTAGTTTTCCTTGAAAATAAAAATGAGAAAAAAAGAAATTTTTTTATGCTTTGCTACCCATATATAAAAATAAAAATTTCAATTGTGAAATAAATATTTTGATACTACACTACAGGTGAGCCTGGAAGTCATGTTTTTGGGTCAATAATTAATGGTGTTTTCGAAGGAAGCATTCATTCTCCTGTCGACTCTTTTTACGTAGAAAAAGCTCATAAATATTTTCCCAAAGAAAGTAATCAAAGTTTTCATTCTATAATTTATAATGGAAAAGATGTTGATGATAGTTTTTTTGGAGGTTGCGGAGTCACGGACGATGTCATACAATGGATGGAAAAAGTACAGGTATTTTACAAACGACAAAAAAATTTTTACCTAGAAAATAATTTGAAATTAAAATTCTTACTCATTATTATTAATTACGAAAATTTTTTTTATTTACAGAACTCTGCAGAAGAGGAAAATGAAAGAATGACAAATATGGCACTGCCCACGAAGCAAAAATTAAAAAATATTCCATCTAATTATGGGAATCATTTTTTAGAAGAGCCTTTTCAGAAGTACAGTAGAGAATTGAACGATAAAAAATTTCGACATGGCGGAGAGCGACGAAGCAAAAGAGCTACAAGACCCAAAGAAGAAAATAAAAATACTTGTTCTTTGTTTATTCAGACTGATCCTCTAATTTGGAGGCATATCGGCGAACAAGTCAATTCAGATCCGGAAAAAACTAGAGAAGAAATTTTATCATTAATTGCACATCATGTGACAGCTGTAAACTACATTTATAGAGATACCAAGTTTGATGGACGTGTTGAACATAGGAACATAAAATTTGAAGTTCAAAGAATTAAGGTATAGTAATCGGTACAAACCGCTTTCACTTTCATTTATAAGTTAAATAGGTTTTCAAATAAATACCCATCATAATCTAACGTGATTAAATCAGAAATGAAATTTTTATTTAGATTGATGATTATTCTCCATGTATGCCTAATTTCAACGGAGAGGTCAACCCCTTTTGCATGGAAAATATTGACGTAAGCAATTTTTTGAATCTTCATTCTCTTGGAAATCACGAAGATTTTTGTTTGGCTTACGTATTTACGTACAGAGATTTCACTGGAGGTACCTTGGGATTGGCATGGGTAGCTTCTGCCTCAGGTACTAAAAATCTAATAAAATTTTATTGGTAATTATATATGTTAATAAATATTTTCGTATTAATTATTGTACAAATTTATTGAACTTGAGGTGCTTCTGGAGGAATTTGTGAGAAATACAAAACCTACACGGAGACGGTAGGAGGAACGTATCAATCTACCAAAAGAAGTTTGAACACTGGAATTATAACTTTTGTGAATTATAATTCCCGCGTGCCTCCCAAAGTTTCACAGTTGACTCTTGCTCATGAAATTGGGCATAATTTCGGTTCGCCGCATGACTTTCCTCCCGAATGTCGACCCGGAGGACAAAACGGAAATTACATCATGTTTGCTTCTGCTACCAGTGGCGATCGACCCAACAATTCGAAATTTTCAGGATGTTCCGTTGGTAATATCTCAAACGTATTAGACGCCATAGAAGATAATAAAAAAAGAAATTGTTTTACCGGTAATCAAATTATTTATTTATTTTAAATTATTTTTTTTTTCGTGTAAAAACATTTTTTTAAAACAATTTTTAAATAAAAATTTTAGCTTCTGCGGGTGCTTTTTGCGGCAATAAAATAGTCGAAGTGGGAGAAGAATGCGATTGCGGGTATGATGACGAAGAGTGTATAGATAAATGTTGTTATCCTCGTTTAGTAAGCGAAAAAGATCGATTGGGTAATGAATCTGCTAGAGGATGCACCAGAAGACCTGGAAGTGTTTGCAGGTACGATAGTTAAAATTTTCCTGTGCAATTTTTTTATGATTTTTTTATCAATGTCAACAAAAAAAAATTAATTTTTTATTATTCATTTTTTTTTTTTTTTTTTTTTAGTCCTAGTGAAGGACCGTGTTGTTCAAGTGATACCTGCAAATTTGTGCCATTGCATTATCAGCAGCAGTGCAAATCGGAATCAGATTGCAGTTGGCCGTCTTTTTGCAGCGGTAAATCAGCCGAATGTCCTAGTCCAGCTCCAAAAGCCAATAAAACTAGGTGTAATGAGGGTGAGTATTTTCATTATTATTATTATTATTTTATTTTATTTTTTTTCAAACAAACTGGAGATTAATTTATTGATAACATTAATAATAATAGGAACTCAATTGTGCATTAACGGAGAATGTACAGGATCTATATGTTTAGAATGGAATTTGACGGAATGTTTTTTGACGAGTCATATCATTCCAAACATTGATAAAAGACGTTTATGCGAATTAGCTTGTCAAAATGGAACGGATCCTAGTACGTGTAGGAGTACAAGCGAATTCGCGCATCTTGTAGGTTTGCCCCAAGGAGGAATAAGTTTAAGGCCAGGATCGCCTTGTGATAACTTTCAGGTAGTGCAAAGGGAATTTCAAATGTTTTTCAAATCTTTCGTAGTTTTTTGGTGATGTCATGATCATTTTACTTTTAGGGTTATTGCGATGTGTTCTTTAAATGTCGTGCCGTGGATGCCGAGGGTCCTCTTGTACGACTTAAAAACTTATTATTCAATAAAGAAACGCTTCTAACCGTTGCTCAATGGGTAACAGAGTATTGGTGGGCGGTTCTTCTTTTAGCTTTAGCCTTTGTTGTGTTCATGGGATTATTCATCAAGTGCTGTGCCGTTCATACACCTTCTTCTAATCCTAAAAAACCTCCAGCAAGGCGTTTGAGTGAAACTCTGCGTCGCCCTATAACAACGTTAAGAAGAATGGTGAGAATAATTTTTTTACATTGAATTTTATTATAATATTTAAAATTTTTAAAATTTTACAAATAAATTTTTTTAGCGACATTCTCACGGTGGGGGATATAGGAGTGGTCCCCGTCCCGGTCCGGCGCACGGTTACGGTGCTCACAGGGGTCAATATTACCCACCCAAACCTAGCGCGCCTCCTTCGGCATTCGCAAGGTCCAATCAAAATCACTACGCAGGAGCTTACGGAGAGAGGCATAACGTGTTTGAAATGCGTCAAAATAAAGTTTGACACCCGGGGAAAAATGTAATAAAAAACGATAGGACCAATCTTCCGGATGTTGCTAGAAACGAAGAGCTTTTATTAAAAGCTCCGGGCGCTTCCGGGAATGCTGCTCCCAATCTATTGGAAAATTGCGAACAAAAAAGACTTTCCAATTTGTTACCAAAAAGAGCGGAACCAGTATCATTTATAAATAATAATTTTTTGTTTTGCGTTAAACATACTCAGAGTCCCATCGAGACCAATTTTTTAACTCAAGAGTTTTTGATGGGTTCAAATTCAAACACAAAGTCACAATCAAATAATGATCTCTCCAGTGAATCTCTTTCTGTTCCTAAATAAAACTGGTCGACGGGTCAGTTTTCCCCCTCGCCCCCTCTCCTCACCGTAGGCATTGCGGGGAAAAAAAAAAAAAAAAAAAGTATTTTATACGGTATTACAAAAAAGAAGAGAAAAAAAGAAAAAAAAAAATTTTAATTAATTTATACACAGTAAATAGTATTTTTCATTCCTTCATTAATTTATTACATACAGTATGAATATGAACGTGATTATTTGTTATATAAAATGAACTCCCCATGAACCCCCCAACATTTTGTTTTTATCTAGTGACGTTTTTCATATTTTTTTAATTTTTTTTTACTTTTTTTAATTTGCTGGTTAGCTTAATACATTTTTTTATAAAATATTTTTAATTTTTATTTTTTACGTATAGACTTTGATTGTATTAAAAAAAAAAAAGGAAAAACGAAGAAAAATTGCTTCCTGACAAAAAAAAAAAAAACGGTTAATTTTAAGTTTAAGTACGCAATAAACAATGTATTATTATTATTATTAAAAGTAATTTATGAATTATTAATGTTTTATTATTATTATTATTATTATTATTATTATTATTATATTTTAAAAATTCAGGGCGACAAATTTTATTATTTTATTTATTTATTTTTTTTTTTACAAGAATTGAAATCGGATTTTTTACATAATTTAAATAATTGATTGACTCGATTCCCCCCCCCCTCCCCGTTTAAATGAAAAAATCAAATTTAATAACTCGAAGTTAATAATGATAATAATAATTTCGTTATATAATGGTTTATATCGATTATTTTAGTTGTAAAAAAAATTGTTTCCAATGCACAAAATAAAAACAACAACAACAACAACAACAATTGCTAATAATAAATATATTAAATAAATAATTATTGTATTTTAATAAATTAATTAATTTTTTTTTCGTTCACGTGTATATTTAATAATTTTATTATTTAAAAAAACAAATTTTAAATTTATACCAAATAAAATAATAAATTTTTTCTTTTTTTTTTTATTTTATTATTTTTATTATTATAATAATAATAATAAATTATTATTGTTTTGAGTGTTTAATTTATAAAATATATACTTTCTTCTTCCCCCCTCACTCTCTTCGCCCCCCTCGCCCCCTCCCCCTTTTAATAAACGACCAGCAATAATTCCTGTAGATTTTTATTTATTTGTAATAATTTAAATTAATATATTTTTTATTAATTAATTAATAATTTAAAATTTTATATTAATTTATATATATTTGATGTTGTTTAAAAAAAAAAACCGTTACACAAATTATCCGATAATAAAATCGTAAAAAAAAAAAATTTTCTTCTATTTCTCTCTCTTTCCCCCTTTCTCTCTCTCTCTCTCTCTCTCTCTCTCTCTCTCTTTTATTAATTAATTAATTAATAAAAAAATCAATTTTTAAATTGGGATCTGCATAAAATAAATCTTGTAATAATTCATCTTCGCCATCATTAAAAATTTTTCCTTCTTTATTTTTTTGAATTATATTTTTTTCATCTACTACTTCTTCATCTTCTTCTTCTTCATCTTCTTCTTCTCGTCTATTTATATTTTCTATTATTTTCGGCATCGATTCCGTCATTTTTTCACTTTCAGTTTGTGATGATATTTTAAATTGATAATTAAATGGTTTTAAAAATTTATAATTAATTTTTTCATAATTTTCCACGACGACATCTTGATTTTCTTCATCATTTCCATATTCTATTAAAAAATTAACATTATTATTATTATTATTATTTACCAAAAAAAAAAAAAAATTTAATTTAAATTTTGCAAAGGTTATTAACCTTTCGATAAATTTTTTCTCGTATCTATATTAATATTATTGTTGTTGTTGTTGTTGTTGTTGTTGTTGTTGTTGTGGTCATTTTTAACGAATATTGAAAAATCATTTTGGGATGTTTTTTTTTTAATAAACGTGTTTGATTTTGATACGTTATCACTTTTCATTTTTAATAATTGATACACGTGTTCTAATTTTTCATTAATTAAATCTAAACTACTTTTCGTATCGATGCTATTTTGACAACTCGTTGAAAAAAATTCTTCATCCGTTTCCTCTTCCTCTGACGTTTTATATTTTTTATAAGTGAGAAATTTCAATTCCGTTTGACATTTAACGGATTTTAATTTTTTTAAAAAATTACCCTGAAGTTGAAGGACCGTTATTTTTTCTCTCTTTAACAATAGAAATAGAAAAAAAATTTTAATTTATTATATTAATTTATTATTATATTTATTAAACATCAAGTACCAATCTTTGAAATTCATCCAATGATCTTTTCAAACATATTTTAAAATGATTCATTTGTTCGTTTAATTCCGTTTTTTCTTTTAACGAATCTTGAAGTGCTCTTGCAAAATAAGCAACTTCGTTATCCATAAGTTTTTCATGTTTTTCCCATTGTCCGATTTTATTTTTATATTCGTTTTCTATAAATTCCATTTTCGATTTATATTCGTTTATCTATAAAAAAATTAAATTAAATTTTTATGTAATAATAATAATAATGGAAATTTTTTTTTCCCGACGCGCTTACTTCGTTAACGTAAAAATTTTTTTCTTCCAAATGTAATTTTGCTTGTTTCATTATATATTCCTGTTGTTCGTTTTTAATTTTTTGTAATTTATCAAGAGTTTCTTTTAATTTATGATTTTTTTCTGCAAACCTTAAACAATAAATAAATAAATAAATATGATAATAATAATAATCAATCCATAAAGGAATCAATCAATCGATTAAACAATAAAAAAAATTTCCCTTTTCGGGGGGGGGGGGGAAACAACAACAAGACAAATTTTAACGTAACGTCGAAAAATATTTTTTTATATAATTCAAAAAATAAATAATTAATAATTATTAATTAATAAATAATAATAATGATAAAAACTTACTTTGAAAGTTCTTCAATAAGTTCGACAATTCTTTTCTTATCTTCGTCGCATAAATCGGTTAATTTAATTTTAGATTTTGTACATTCATCATCATCACCATCATAATAATAATATTTTCTTTTGTCTTTTTCTTTAGGATTTTTTTTACATTTATTTATTTTATTTTTGTTTTCTAAACTACTATTATTATTATTATTATTAGTATTAGTATTATAATCGGTTAACTTACTTATGGATTTAATTTTTTTCGATAATAATTCGTTTTTTTGCTTACACGTATCACAACCCAAATAAGCTTTTGGTGAGTGAGATCTTGAACGATGATCTTGCATTAATTTTAAATCTTTTATTAAATTTATTTTTTGATTTTCTTCTTTTTTCATTTTTTTTTTTTTATAAATTTATTTAAATTTTTTTTTAAACAATGTTTACAAAATTTTACACACACGCACACACGTGGTGGTAGAATATTCATTTATACATATAAACTTTAAAATGTAAACAATAAAATTTTAAATTTTAAATATTATATAAATATTTTGCCTCATAAATCCAACCAAAACAAAAAAAATTTATATATATATATATTTATTAATTTATTAAATTTTTTATTTAAAATAAAATAATAATAATAATAAAATAAAAATATATATAAAAAAAAAAACATTCGTGCGTAAATAAATTTTATTAAACGTATCTCGGAGGTGTAATCATGATTTACACGTGAATCATATTTTAAATTATTATTATTATTATTATTATCTAATTAAGACTAAATTTTTTTTTTTTTTTTTAATCATGACGAATTATCATTATCATCATTATATCAGTTTAAAAAAAAAAAAAAAATTATCAAAATGGGTTTTTTAAATCAAAAAATTCAAATTATTTTTCCTCCTATTTTTTTCTTATTGCAAATTTTCAAGTTTTTTTTTTTTTTTTTTTTTCCTGGTGGTTATTATTATTATTATAATTATTTATTACCATTATTATTACAAAAAAAGTAGGATATCGATTTTAACTGATAGTTACTGATAATAATTCATTGCAAAAGTTTTTTTTTATTTTTTTTTATCATTTTGAATATTATTTGTTTAAAAAAAAAAAAAAAAAAAAGAAAAAATTAAAAAAATTATTTTTGTTGTTGTTGTTTAATTTTTAATTAATTTATATATATATATAAAAAAAATTTTTTTTTTAAAAGTTTTATATTAAAATTTGTTGTATAATGTCTATTTAATAATAATAATAATAATAATAATAATAAGAAAAAAAGAAAAAAAAAATGATATTTTTTATAAATAAAAAAAATGGAGGAGGATTATTTAATATTTTAATGATTATATTATTTAATTATGTATCGACGTCGTCGTGTTGGAATAAAAATGATAAACAAAATGGCAACATTGATTTAAATGATACTAAAATATATCGTAAGTATTATTATTATTTTTTTTAAAAAAAAAATTTTTAGAAAGAAAATTGAAGAAAATTAATTAATGTCACGTGAGAAAACCCGACATTTTTTTTTTTTTAATCATTTTAAAGATTTAAAAAAAAAAAAAAAAAAAAAAAAGTTTTCCCCCCATTGAATTTCTCCTTTTCCTCCTCCTTTTTTTTTTTTTTTTTTTTTTTAAATTTAAATTAATTTAATTCAATTTAATTTAATTTAATTTTTTTTTTTGTTGGAGGAAATCAAGGCAAAAATATAATTTGTTCAAAAAAAGAATTTTGCAATGAAAATTTTTTATGTCAGTGTATAAGCGGATTTAAAAATTACGAAGGACAATGCGTTTTTTGCATAGGTAAAAAAAAACAAATAATAATGATAATTTAATTTTAATTTATTTAATTTAATAAATTTCAATTTTTTTTTTTTTGGAAAATAAAGAAGAAAATAAAAATTGTTCTTCCACAAACGAATGTTGTCCATTTCAATTTTGCATCGAAGGAATATGCAGGTAAAAATTTTCAATTTTTTTTTTATTTTTAATTTTAATAAATTATAAAAATCAATAGAAATAATAATAATAATTGCTTTGAGATGTAAAAAATTTTTTTTTATCAATTTTTTATGAAAAATTTTTACACCGTCGATGATAATACTTATCATTTATGGTTAGGAATCGAGATTAGGTTTGGATTCAATGACGTAGCAATAAATTTTTTTTTTAATAATAATAATAATAAAGCAAATAAAAGAAAATTTTTTTTTTTTGAGTTAGGATGAAATTAGGGATTCTTTATGGGGATTTTTTTTTGGATTTACAGAAAACCGGGATCATCCATCGAATTTATAACTCTGACAAAAGTTAGCTTAGGTATAACAATTGCTATTATATTAGCTGCTTTATTCATTTTCTTGATAAAAGGATTATTTAATTTGACATGTGGAAGATTACAACAACTTCAAAGAAATTCGGGAGGAAATAGAACGAATCCAGTCCAAGCGTGAGAATTTTTTTTTAATATATCAAAACAATATTATTTAATATGAATTTCCCACGTTAAGTAATGAAAGATTGTTTTTGTTATATTTTAGGTACGCACAAAGACTTTTTAATTATAGAACTTCTGGTGAAATAAGACAAGATAAACCTCCTTCGTATGAAGAATGCGTTCGAAATCCACAAAATGGTTTATTTTTTGAATCGCCTCCACCATATACAATTTCTGATAATTTTTCTGGGGAGTTTATAAGAAATGAAAGAACAAATACATCTCCTAATTCTCAAAATTTAAATTTAACTGGTTTAGATGTTCATGGCCTGGGATTATTACCCAATCAAGTATATTAAATTTTTTTTTTTGTTCCCCCCCATGGTTTGTTGTTTTTAGAAAAAACTAATTAAAATATTTACTTTTACTTTTTCTAGGTAAATTTAACAGTGGCAAAAAAAAATACAAATGTTAAATCCTCATAAGGAGATATTATTATTACACATAATATTGAATATATTTTTTGAGATAAATTTTATTTTTTGAAAAATATTTTTGAATTTTTTTTTTTTAAAAAAATGTAACGTGAAATATATTTACGTTATTTTTTCTTTTTTTTGAAAAATAAAAGATGGTAAAACTTTTTATTTATTTAATTATAAGTTGTCAATAACTTTTCTTTTTTTTTTTTCCCCCTTATGACTCCACATGGTACGACAAAACAAACGACACATTATTAGGAGATTTCTCTAACTGGCACCAATATGTCTTTTAAACACATTTTAGAGTTAATCATAATTCAAGAAAAATATACATTAAATAAAAAAATTCAAAAATTAAATTTTTTAAAAGTTTTTAAAAACACACACACACACAAAAAAAAAAATTAATTTGAATTTTTATGATAGGCTGTTTTTACTAATGAAAATGTTTTGGGCGGTTAAATTTTCAGGGCCCTTTTCGCCATTTTAAAGACAGTTAGTAATCTTGCAATAACGATGTAATAATGGGTGGTTCTCTGAAAACATTATACCCATGCGTATTTTTATTACTTTTTCATTACGGAAACTCATGTAAGTGTTAATAAATTAATACCCAAGAGTAAATTATATTTTTTTAATCGTAATTTTATTTACTTAATACCTTTATAACTTAATACAAAAATTTATAGGTGTTGGCTGGGCTGTAACAGGCTTCAGGTGGTGACTAATTTCAAATTTAAAAAAAAAAAAAAAGTATTATTGAATGCCTTTTAGATTTTAAACTAATTTTATTTCTAAAAATTTTTTTTCAGATGATGAATATGAATGCAACACTCCATTGCTCTACAGAGCCGTTCTTAAAGCAACTTCTTCATTAATTGATAGAGAACCCGAATATGCAAGATTGAATGGTAAGTTTTTCGTTTTAAAATAAATTTTAACAAACAATTTTTTTTTAACTATAACTTCGTAAAATTTAATTTATTTTTAATAAATAGTTTTTAAAGTTTTATAAAAAAAATTCTGGTTAGCAAATACAAGATTAGTGCAAGAAGAAATTATAAAACAGTTTAATTAGAAGTCTAAGGTAGATTAAAAATTATTATTGTAGTTAAAACAATTTTTTTTTTGTTACTGGCAAAAAATGAGATAAATTTCTTCTTCAAATTATCACTAATTTACTTTATTTATCCAATAATATCAAATATTATAGTTTTAAATTCAAATTTTGTTTGCAAAATTTCTTTTTGTGTTTTTAATATGTTACTCGTAATATTCTACTCCTGTCAATATTTTATTTCTTCATTTGCTGATGATGAGTTGCTTTTTTATTTCTGCAGAATAACAAACAAACTCTTGGGCATCCTTTGATAATATATATATATATATATTTCAAATATTTAGTGGTAAGACATAATAATAATTGTGGAATGCATAGAGTATGCTGCCATAAAATGGCTAATTTACCTATTAAATCAGTTAAATGGGCATTTGATTTTGTTTCTTGGCAACCTACGGAATCTCAAATTTTGCAAGCTTTCTCCTACATTCAATTAGAAGAAAAGGAACGAATTGCAAAATTTATGTTTAAACGTGATGCTAAAGCAAGTTTGATTGGACGATTATTAATAAGAAAGTTTATTAGTGAAAATTCTCATCTTAAATACAATGAAATCGTTTTGAAAAGGGATAAAAATGGAAAACCATTTATCCTAAACCAAGAATATAAAAATAAATTAAAATTTAATGTCTCACATCATGGTCGTTTGGTAGTTCTTTTGGGATGTACATGTGATTTCGAAGTCGGAGTAGATGTTATGACTACTAAACATCATGAAGGAAAAAATCTAGAAAGGTTTTTTCGTTTAATGTCTAGAAATTTTAGCGAAAATGAATGGAAAGTTATTATGAATACCGATTCTTCCGAAGATGTGAGAATTTTACTTTTCAACAGGTATTGGGCATTAAAAGAAAGTTATTTGAAAGCTGTGGGAAGTGGTTTATCTGTTGATTTAGCCACAGTCGAATTTCGATTGAAATCAAAATTTTTAGAGATTAATAAACCAGTGATTGACACTGAATTATATGTTAATGGTTTAAAACAAATCGATTGGTTTTTCGAAGAAACTTTACTCGATACTGATCATTTAGTGGCTGTTGCCTATAAAGCTGATAAAGTTATGGACTCATCAACTTTTGAATTTTTAAAATATGATGATATTGTGCAAAATGGTGTACCTGTTTTACCTGAGACAGATTTACAATTTGTCAAAAATTTTATGATTAAAGAGGAAGAGCCACATTAATTTTGTTAATAAATTTGTGCAGTAAATATTTTTGTTTTTTATGTATTTATTATTTGGTGATGAATATAACGTTTTAATGTGTAAAGATTTCATTTAAATTCTCTTAATTTTTATATACCGATTTGATGATGATTCTTATTATTACTTTTATATTTTGTAATGAAATTTAAATTTTTATCTCATTTTAGCCAGTCAAAATTATTTTAACTACTTTAAATCTAAAAATGTTTTTAAGCACGTTTGTAAACGTTGTGAACGTTACATCAGTGTCGCTTTTTTAATTATGCTTTTAAGTAATTTTTATTATTTGAATATTTAAGGAATTTATTTGTAATTGCCACACAAGTTTTAAAATTTAGAGAAAAAATTATTATTATTATTATTATTATTAGTAAAGAGCGTTTGTAACAATAAACTTTGTTGTTTTTTTCTTTTAATTAATGTTTGCTGAGTTATATTCAGATTTTTTTTTTTTTTTTTTTTTTTTTGAAATTTTATTTAGTTAGTGGTGTTGTGTAATTCGGTAGAAATATTTTTAGTTAAATATTTGTATTGCATTAATTTCTGCAGGTACTAACAGGTACTTACAGGTTGGTGTGATTTCTTGTGTGCTTTATGAAAAAAAAAAAAAAAAAAAAAAAAAAAAAAAAAGTAATTTGTTTTAAATTATAAATGGTTTCGATTATTATTTTGTTTGGTTATTGCTTTTTTTTTTTTTTTTTTCTCTAAATTTTGATATATAAAATTTGTTACCGTTTTTATAACTTGCGTTATTAATTTAAAAAAAAAAAAAAAAAAATCACACAGAAATATATTGTTTTAAAAACTACATTCATAATGTAGTATTTTTAAACGTTTCATCCCTTAAAAATTTACCCTCTTGAAACAAATCTAAATCTAATTTTTTTTTTTTTTGAATTATTTCATGATAATATTTAATAAACTTTTAAATATATAAAGAGGGTGTGTTGAGAAAAATTATATTTAATGACTATTAACAGTATATTTCTGTTGAAAATTAAAAAAAATTTTTATATACATTTTGTTTTTTTTTATTGTTATTGTTAGCAAGTTTTATTTTATTTTGCATGTTGTTTTCTTTTTTTTTTTTTTTTTTGATTTTTTATTAAAAATAAAAAATCAGGCATTAAAGCATGGACGGCTTTAAATGCTGATTTCGACCAGAGGTTGGTAGTCGATCTGGGTCAGGTGATGAACATAACTAGAATAGCAACGCAAGGTCGTCCATTATCACAAGAATATGTTCAAGAATATACTATAAGTTATGGAACGAACGGACAAGATTATGCCGATTATAAAGATTCCGATGGGAATATAAAGGTGATTTTTTTTTTTTTTTTAAAAAAAATAAATTAAAAACCCCCGGTAAATATATATATATATATTTATCGATCGATTTTCTTCTACACATCTATTTTATTAATAAAAATAATTTAAGTCGTCAAAAAAATTAAGAAGTTAAGGCTGTGTAGTATATTAAAAGGAAAAAAAAAAAAAAAGGGATGATACTGTGCATGGTAGTGCATGTTTAAATAAATTTTTTTTATTATTATTATTTCTGCTTGTGCTTGCATGCTTTTGTATTTATTGTTTATTGTTTTAAAGGTACAATAGTAGATTATTTGTAATTTATGTAGATATTAAACTTATTAGTTTATACACTTTTATTATAAATTTTTAACCAATTGAAATTGTAATATGTGTAAACACGTAGGATTACATTTATTCAAAAAGAAATTTGAAAAAAAAAAAAAAAATTTTTGTAAATTCACCCTTGCGCTTTTTTAAATTTCGCTCCAAAAAAAAAAAAAAAAAAAAAAAAAAAAACTTTAAGAACTAATAATGTATAAAAGTAAAAAAAAAAAAAAATATATAAAATAATATATATTTTGCATGATTCTTGATGCTTACGGGAAGCAATCTTTAATACTAACAATAAAACTCATTAACTTAGGGGATTTCTCGTGGTCACCTAAAGATAACACGTATTATCATTTCTTAACCATCGACCTCGGTGCAAGAGTTAAGATAAGAGCCATAGCAACTCAGGGTCAGAGTAATACAAAAGAATGTGTAACAGAGTACATTCTTCAATATTCTGACAATGGGCAATTATGGAGAAGTTATAGTGGAAATACGGGTGAAGCGGAGGTGGGTACGGAATTTAAAAAAATCATTTTCCTTTTCGGTGGTGGTTCGTATATAGGATAAATTGTTGGCGTTGTTTATTGCTCATAATAAATTACAAAAAAAAAATTTATGTTAGATGTTCAATGGAAATATCGATGGATCTACAATTCATAGAAATGAATTTGAAATTCCCATAATTGCTCAATGGGTTAGAATCAATCCCACACGTTGGAACGAACGAATATCACTTCGAGTTGAATTATACGGTTGTGATTATGGTAAGTAAATAAATATAATTTATTGATAATATTGCATTTTAAAGAGTTGATAATTAATTTTAAATTAAATTTTTTTTAGAATCCAATCTTCTTTACATGAATGGATCTTCCTTATTGGTTTGGCATTTAAACAAGGAGCCCGTTTATGCGAGCAGAGAATCTATTCGTTTTAGATTTAAAACAAGTCAAGCCAATGGTGTTTTGCTTTACAGCCGTGGAACTCAAGTAATGAAATACTACCTCGATAATTATTTTAAACGTGTTTTTATTAAAATCAAAATGAAAATTTATTATTATTATTATTATTATTTTTTTTTTTCAGGGAGATTACATCGCATTACAATTGCATTACAATCGTTTGCTTCTCAACCTTGATTTGGGTTCACGTATAATGACATCTTTATCCGTGGGCTCACTTTTGGACGACAATCTATGGCACGATGTTGTTATATCAAGAAATCGGCGCGATATTGTCTTTTCGGTCGATAGAGTTGTGACTCAGGGAAGAATAAAAGGAGAATTTGCAAGATTAAATTTAAATCGAGAGTTTTACATCGGAGGAGTACCAAACAAGCAAGAAGGATTAAGCGTCACTCAAAATTTTACCGGTTGCATTGAAAATTTTTATGTTAATTCCACAAATGTAATAAAGGAAGTGAAAACTGTGCAGGCTTATGGATATGACTACATGCAAAAGATTAACACTCTTGAAATTTGTCCGGTAAAAATTTAATTCATACTTTTCTAATATTCTAATTTTTTTTTTTTTTTTGTAAGACTTTCATGTGAAATTTTAACATCATTTGTAAATTCCAGGAACCACCGATTATTCCAGTCACGTTTTTAACTTCGACGTCGTTCGTTAAACTCAAAGGATATGAAGGCGTGCGATCGTTGAACGCGTCATTCGCATTCAGGACTTACGAAGAAAACGGAGTTCTTTTGTTTCATAAATTTACTTCTCCTGGCGACATAAAATTATATTTAGAAAACGGCTACATAAAAGTCGACGTGCAAACCGGTACAAATCCGAGAACAATTTTAAATAATTTTCACGAACCGTTCAACGATGGCAGATGGCATCAAGTTGTTTTGACAGTTGGAACCAACAAATTAATTTTAGAAATTGATGGCGTTGCAATGACGACAAATCGTCTTTTATCAATGTCGACGGGACCTTATTATATGATCGGTGGAGGAATTCATGGTCAAGAGGGTTTCATCGGTTGCATGAGAATGATTTCGGTTGATGGAAATTACAAATTGCCAACGGATTGGACTAAAGAAGATTATTGTTGCGGAGAAGAAATATTATTTGACTCGTGTCACATGATTGACAGATGCAATCCCAATCCTTGTAAACATAATGGATTTTGTAAACAAAACTCGAAAGAATTTTTCTGTGATTGCACCGGTACTGAATACGCAGGATCCGTTTGTCACACGTCAACAAATCCCCTTTCGTGTGAGGCATACAAAAACGTTAACGACGTCGGATCAAGTGCAGAAATTAAAATCGACGTAGACGGATCCGGTCCTTTAAAACCTTTTCCGGTTACGTGTCAATTTTTTGCCGACGGCAAAGTTGAAACAATAATTCATCATTCTAACGAGGAAACGACTCCAGTCAATGGTTTTCAAGAACCAGGAAGTTTTATCCAGGACATCACGTACGACGCCGATTTAGAACAAATTGAAGCTTTTATGAATCGTTCAACTTCTTGTAAACAGAGACTGCATTATAGTTGTAAAAACTCCCGCTTGTTAAATTCACCGTCACGGGAAAATAATTTTCAACCATTTGCTTGGTGGGTATCTCGTTGGAATCAAAAAATGGACTACTGGGGAGGAGCTTTGCCAGGATCGAGAAAATGTGAGTGCGGCATTTTAGGTCAATGTGTTAACCCTACCAATTGGTGCAATTGTGATGCTGCGCTTGATGTGTGGGCAGAAGATGGAGGAGATATTACACAAATGGAACATTTGCCGGTAAAGCAAGTTCGGTTTGGAGACACTGGTAATCCTTTGGATGAAAAACAAGGGCAATATACATTGGGCCCCTTAATTTGTGCTGGAGATAACCTGTTTAATAACGTAGTTACATTTAGAGTGGCAGACGCAAGCATAAATCTTCCAACATTCGATATAGGACATTCCGGAGATATCTATTTCGAATTTAAAACCACTGCCAAAGATGCCGTACTATTGCACAGCACGGGACCTACCGATTACATTAAACTTTCCATAACTACCGGCAATCGGATACAATTTGAATATCAAGCAGGAAGTGGAACTTTGGGAGTTTCCGTCGATACAGCTTATCGGCTAGATGACAACAATTGGCATTCAATTTCAATTGAAAGGAATCGAAAAGGAGGAAGACTGGTTGTTGATGGTTCATCGAAAAACGAAGTCCACGAAACAACTGGACCCATTCGTGCATTACATTTAACTTCTGATCTTGTGATTGGTTCAAGTGTAGATTACAGAGATGGATTCGTAGGCTGTATAAGAGCTCTTTTACTCAATGGTAAACTTGCCGATCTCAGAGGAATAGCAGAAAAAGGTCTCTACGGTATTTCCGTAGGTTGCGTTGGAAAGTGTATCAGCAATCCTTGCTTAAATAATGGTACTTGCATTGAGGGCTACGATGGTTACACGTGCGATTGTCGTTGGACAGCTTTTAAAGGTCCCATATGTGCTGATGAAATAGGAGCCGTGATGAGACCTGACACAATGATAAAATACGATTTTATGGGTTCTTGGAGATCGACCATTGCAGAAAACATTAGGGTAGGATTTACCACGACAAACCCTAAAGGATTCTTGTTGGGCTTTTCTTCGAACATATCCGGCGAATACCTAACCATCATGATTTCAAATAGCGGTCACTTGCGAGTAGTTTTTGATTTCGGGTTCGAGCGTCAAGAGTTAATTTTTCCCAACAAGCATTTCGGATTAGGACAATATCACGATGTCCGAATTCGAAGAAAAAATTCAGGGGCTACTTTAGTTATGGAAGTAGATTCTTACGAGCCGAAGGAATTTCACTTTAACATCAAAGCTTCGGCCGATGCTCAATTTAACAATATTCAGTACATGTACATAGGAAGAAACGAAAGCATGTCGGAAGGATTCACGGGATGCATATCCCGAGTTGAGTTCGACGACATTTATCCCCTTAAATTGCTATTTCAAGAAAACGGGCCGCGCAATGTAAAAGTTGCCAATCCTACCACGGAAGATTTTTGCGGAGTCGAACCGGTAACTCATCCTCCGGACATATTTGAAACGAGACCGCCGCCTATCCTGGACGAAGATAGAGTAAAAGCTGCTTACAATCAAACAGATTCAGCCGTTATTGGAGGTAAAAACTTTTTTTTTTTTTTTTTTTTTTTTGGCAAAAATTTTTTTCGGTGGAAAATTTAATTATTAATTTTTTAGGAGTTTTGGCCGTATTATTCGTCGCACTGGTGCTTTTCGCTGTTTTCGCCGGGAGATATGTTGCAAGGCACAAGGGAGAATACATCACACAAGAGGACAAAGGTGCAGAAGTTGCATTGGATCCAGATTCAGCCGTCGTACGATCGAGAACAGGTCATCAAGTCACGGAAAAAAAAGAATGGTTTATTTAGTGAAAGTATATAAATTTATAAAAAAAAATAAAAATTGAAAAATTTTCGCGCGTGTGTGTTTGTAAAAGAGAGAGAGAGAGAGAGAGAGAGAGAGAGAGAGATTCAGTATTTCTAATAAAACTTGAGATTATAAAATCAGTATTTTCCACGTTGAGAAATTTATATTTAAAAATTTTTTCGAAATTGGAAAAAGGGGAGAAAAATTTCACGTGAATAGTACAACATTATCTATAAGTATTTTAATTATTATTATTATTATTATTATTATTATTATTATTATTATTATTATTAGTTTATTGAAACTAAATGATTTGATTTTTTTTTTTTTTTTCTATTTAATATATATGGATTGTAAAAATGTCTTCTTTATACTTATATAAATAATAATTGTTAATTTTTTTAATGATGAGTACTGACTTGATAACACCTAAGTCCGATTAGAAAAAATTAAAATGATAATGATATTAACATAAAATGTTGTACAAAGAAAGAGAGATAGAGAGAGATAGAGAGATATCTGGTCCAAACGATGATAAAATCAAACAGTTAATTAATTAGGTTAAGCGTGCTCTTAAAGATTGCCTTTTTTTTTGAAATAAATAATTTACAAAATTTAAACATTTTTTATATATTTTTGTATAAAAATTTGTTAAAATGGCGATTAAGAATGCGCCGTGTCAAATAATGATAATATCTCAAAATTAAATTAAAATATAATCAAGGTAAAATAAAAATTATTGTACAAACAAAGGAGGAGAAAATTTTTTATTTATGTCATTTACAATATTTATTTTATTTTTGTTATATATGCTTCTACTTTTTTTTTTTTTTTTTTTTTTTGTTACACAAATGAGAATTTTCTTTCTTTCTTTATTTATTTATAAAGCTTTTTTTTTTTTTTTGTGTGTTTAATTGTAAATATAGTGAGTGGGCTTTGAAAAGAAAAGGAGTTGTTGGTGGTTTTGAAGCTGCCAAAAAAAATCTATTTTTTTTTGTTTGTCTTTTTTTTTTTTATTTAAATGAAAATTAACAGTTATTATTATTATTATTTTTGTATCATTTTGTTTGTTTTTTTGATAACATGTTTGATTTTATTTTTTGAACATTTTAATTTTTTTCATTATCGAAGGAAAAAAAATTATATTTATTTATTTTTATAGCATTGAAATTCATCTTTTTTTTTTTTTATTATTAAATTAAATATAAAATGTCTCAAAATGAATTTAGGAAAAAAAAAAAAAAAACTTTTTTATTTAATTTTTGTTAGAAATTAATAAATTAAAAGTGATGACAAAGACTCGAGTGACAAAATTATAAGTAAAACATATAAATTTGTACATTGAATGGAGTGGGGGGAGGGGGGTGAATAAGGTTGCATTTCAATATAAATAGGTAATTGATATTACATGCATGGTTTTTTGTTTTTTTTTTTTTTTTATGTAGAATTTTGCAAAAACTTACTTTTTCAATTATTAAAAATTTTATCTATCAATGATATCTTCCATTTTGTAAACAATTTAAAATGAAAATTTTTTTTGTTTTTTTGCATTTATAAGATGATTTTATTTGAAAATAAATTTATGTTTAACATTATTATTATTATTAACTAATTAAATTAAACTTAAAATTTTATAACAATAATTTTAATTTTTTTAAATAGAAAACTTTAATTTAATTTAATTAAAGTTCATAACAATTTGAATTTGTGAATTGATTAATAATGAATGAGTCTCAAAAAATTTTTTTCAGGGCCCTTTTTGTTTTTTCGTTTCAAATCGTATCAATAGAGTATTTATTCACGATATTAATTCACCTTAAGTATAATGTCTTCTAATTGGGAAGAATTTTATTCAAAAGCACCAAAACCGAGTAATTATGGAGAACAAGTTACAATAATAAATAAATTTGTTTCTCACCATAGGGCTAATCATCGTAAAATAGTTCTTGTGACTGTACGTGTTTAATTAAATTATATTTACAGTTAAAAAAATTTATCCTACTAAAAATGTATAATTTCTTATTAATTATTATTTTTTCAGTCGGGAGGAACGACGGTACCTCTGGAACATAATGCAGTTCGTTTTATCGATAATTTTAGCGCGGGTTCTAGAGGCTCTGCTTCTGCTGAATGTTTTTTAGACCATGGTTATGTTGTTATATTTTTATTTAGATTTAAATCATTAGAACCGTTTATGAGGCATTTTACTGGATGTTCATTTTTAGATTTATTAGAAATAAAAAATTCAAGTAATAATTCTAAAGCTGTACAAGGTTTGTTATATGATTGCTTGTTTGAAAGTTTTTTTTTTTTTTTTTTTTTTGAGAGGGTCACATGTAAATATTATTTTTTCAGTTAAAGAAAATAAAATTAGTGAAGTTTTGCCTGTTCTTGAAAAATATTGCAAAGTGAAATCATGTTCAGAAATTTTATCAATTTCATTTACTACATTATCCGATTATCTTTGGCTCCTTAGAACCTGTTGCGAGTCTTTATCGACTTGTGGAAAAAATGCTCTTCTTTATTTGGCCGCTGCCGTATCAGATTTTTATATACCAGATGAAAACATGGTACTTAAATTGTTGGTATTTTGTGACTGATATTCAAATTAAATAATATTACCTAATTTATATTTTTGTTTGTTTCAGCCAATTCATAAAATACAATCTAATAATGGACCGTTAAATTTAACATTCCAATTAGTTCCAAAGGTTTTAAAACCGTTAGTTAGTTCATGGGTGCCTGAGGCATACACAGTTTCATTTAAATTAGAAACAGATGAAACACTTTTAATTGTTAAAGCTAGAGAATCATTAAAAAAATACAATCATCATTTAGTTATTGCAAATATATTAAATACTAGAAAAAATAAAGTAACTGTAGTGACAAGGTACTCTAATTACGAAATAACTTTAACAAAAGATGAAATTTCAAAGGGTGTTGAAATAGAATCGAAAATAGTTCCCGATGTTGTAAATAAACACGAAGAATATATTACACAAAAAAAAAATAAACATAATTAATAAAAATAAAATAATAATAATACTTAAAGTAAAATCAAAATTTTGAGTATATATTTTTTAAATTACTACTTTAAACGTTTTATTATTATTTAAAAAAAAAAAAAAAATTTTTTATCCGTGATGAAATTCGAATTTTGTATCGTATGAAGAAGTAATTTTTTTCGTTTTAAAAAAAAAATAAATGAATAAAAATACGAGCAATAAAAATAAATGTAAAAGCAGAAAATTAGTGAAATCGTTAAGGGACAACGACGTGCAATGACTTGATAATATAAACATGTTTGGTTTTCAGGGCCCTAAAATAATTTCCGTTTAGGTAATGTTTTGTTTAAAAACAGTCTGTGAAAATATCTATTAATAGTAGGATAGGTTTTCCTTAAAGTTACATATTAAGGAAGTAGTAACTTAATTTTTTTTTTTTTTTTTTTTTTTTTACTTTAAAAATTTTATAAGATAAATGTGAATATGAATAAAAAAATATTTTTAAAGTGGTTAGTTTTTTTTTATTTATAACTAGTAGTAGTATATAAATAAAAATAATAATTTTGTTAAACGAATATGCGACCGTAAAAAAAAAGAAAATTTTATATTTTTGAACAATGGTGCTTTCTCCAGTTATTCAAACTCAAACGGTTCATGAAACATTATTAGGTCGTCAAGATTTTGAATTACGATTATTGGAAACGGTGAAAAAAAGTTTACAATCTAAAATAAGGTGTGACAAAGAATATTCTTCGACTTTATTAGGAGTGGTTGCGCAAGGGCAGAAAATTGAAGGTAGTGATGATCTTTTGGGAAGTGTCATCACTCAGTCATGGAAAACTCTTTTGGAAGGTTTCGAGTTCCTGGCCAAATTAGTCAAACAAAATGCTGAAGCCATAGAAATAAATGTCTTAGATAAAATCAATCAGTTGTACTTGGATAAAAAAAAAATTAAAAAATCCTACATTGATGAATATGGAAAAATATCTCTTCAATTTTCCAAGGTATAGTTTTTTGTATTTATAAAATTTAAAAAAATATTTTTTTTTTTTTTAAAATTAATTACCATCAATTATCAAAAAAGTATCAAAAAAAAAAAAAAAAAAAAAATTTTAAGAACAATCTCATTGGTAATTATTACATTTAAAGTCAATTTATTGATGCTTCATTCGAATATAAATAAAACATTGGTTGCAGTTTGTTAAAGCAAGCCAAAATCGAGACAATTATTATGATTATTTATTTTTAAATATAAGAATACTATTTTTAAATATGATATTAGTATTTCAATTTTATTTTTTGTTCAAGTTCAAGTTTTATAATGATGCATTATATTATTTATGATCAGTAATTTTTATTCGAAAGATAAAAATTTTTTTATGTAAACTAGAATTTTAGGTTCAAGTATTGAATCGTAATTTAAAAATACGAAAGAATTTTAAGTTTGATCGGTTAAAGTAAAGAATATATATATATGGTTCCTCGAGATTTAATGAAAAAGAAAACAAGTCAAACATCTTTTACTTATAATTACTATTTACCTTTGACCTTATCTAAAAAATATTCAAAGGTCTTAGAGGTTTTAGAATTTGAAATCCTGTTTCCTGAATTTTGAATTCTAGTACCTTGATTTCTTTTTTTATTTTTTCTAATATAAAAATTTTTCAGTCAAGTTTTATTAGGTGAAATTATAAATTTAATATTTAAATTAAAATACATAAAATTTCTATTTCATATTTAAATTAAAACCGGTAGTTTTTTAATTTATTGTTTCCAATATTATTATTATTATCGAATTTTTTTTTTTGTTAGAAAACTACCGCCTTGAAGCACGAATTTAATAACGTTTTTTTTTTTTTTTTTTTTTACAAAAGTTTGTTTATCCGGTTTGAATTTGTAAAAAATTTTATAATAATAATTAATTAATTTCCTCGTTAAAAAAAAAAAAAAATGGCGGAGGGTGGCTTTGTTAAATCAAATCTTGTTCTTTTTATTTCACTTTTGTTTTTTCGATAGTTTTATTATAAAAATACCTAAAGGAAAGTTTTCACTGTATCAAAAATCCTGTTTTAAAAACCTGTACGACTATAATATGTGAAGAAAAAAAAAAAAAAAAAGCAAATTATAACAAAAAATAATTTTATTTATTATTTAGATAAGCGATGATGTTGGGAAAAAAAAACTTGAATATCAAAAAAATTTAGAAATTTTCAAATCCATGAGATCTCGTTTGGAAGAATTTTATGTCAAAGGTGAGTATTTATTATTATTATTATTATTATTATTCATTTTTTGTACCTAAATTTTAAGGTCACTTTTTTTTTTTGAAGATCTTTCGAAATCATTCGATTTTCGATATCGATTAACGGTTTTTTTAAATGTAAAAGTTACACTATATATATAACGGTTTTTTTACATAAATATTTATATATACATATAAATTTTTTTTTTTTTTTTGAATTTCTTATGTGAACTGAATTATTATTATTATTATTATTATTATTATTATTATTATTATTATTATTAATATTATTGAATTTTTCAGGGGGACGTGGAAGTAAAAAAATAGAAGAGATAAGAGAAAAATATCAGAAAACGTGTAGAAAATTACATTTGGCACATAACGAGTACGTTTTACTCTTGGCCGAAGCAACGGAATTCGAAAAAGATTTTCGAATATTACTTTTTCCAGGTACGTTTGTTTTTTTTTTTTTTTTTTCCCCTACCTTACTCGATACGCTTTTACTGAAAATAAAGTTCATCGATTCGCATAAACTAATAATTTTTTTTTTTTTTTTTTTTAGGGTTGTTAGAGTATCATCAATGTTTGCAAGATAATCTTAATCACGAGTGGAAAAAGGTTTTCGAAGATGTCGCGAGAAATTCTAGTCTTTGTACAGAACAACTTCAGGATTTGGAAAATCGCGTCGTTAAAATAATCCAAGATATCAAACCGAATGAAGAGTATAGCGTCATAACCGATAAATTAAGGTACGATATGTGGTAAATGAGGAAATAAACACAACTTTTCCTTTCAAAACATGGCGCCAAATTTTTTGTTTGTTCCATTGTTTGTGTTGCAGGACGTCTTTTTCGACTTCATCATTTTCCTTTGACGAATCATTGACAACGGATGCACCTGGAAAATTACTTCCCAATCAATTGGTAGTGGATAATTTAACAAACGAATGGTTAAAATCAAAATTGTCCGAAGTCGATGGTAAAATAAAAGAAGAACAAGAGAAAATGATTGAATTGGGAGAATTCATATTGAACAATGGAAAATCACACGAGGTCTTTAATAATAATAATAATAATAATAAGTAAGTGGGGTAACAAAAAAAAAGAAAGAAAATTTTTATTAAAGTCATAATTTCAGTGAGTCACGTATTATTATTATTATTATAAGGTCACACCTGTTACACTATAATTCTAAATGTATTTAATAAAGTAATTTAATACTTAAATAAGTTATGGAAAAATAATAATACAATAGATATTTATTAAAAAAAAAAAAAAAGAATGATTTTAATAACAATAGGTAGTGGTATGTTGTTTAAAGAAGCGATAAATAACTTTTTTCTTTTTATTTTATCTACATTTTGATAAAATGATGAGGGGGGGGAGGAGGGTTTAAAAAAGTGATGTATATCTATGAAGAAGAAGAAGAAGAAGGTGGAGAAGGAGGAGAAGGAGACAAAAAGAATGAAATTTTAAGTTTTTTTGATTGTGTTTTTGTTTTATATTAAAAAAAAAAAAATTGATGGATTCGATATTATTTTAATAATAGGTCAAATAGTGAGGTAGCTAAAAAACGTCACGAATTAATTGAAATCCGTTGCGACGAAAGGAAATTATCAAAACAATCTGAAATGATCAAAGTTGCACTTAACGAATTGGGATCCGATGAACTTCCCTCAGGTTGCGATTTGCCAATTGACAATAGTCTACCCATCAATTTGGAAAACGAAGTAGGAATGATAATAAAAGAAAATTCGAATAATAATAATAATAATAAAATAATAACAATAATAATATACTCATAATTTAAATTGCATATTAAAAATGCTGATTGATTTGTATAAACGATGAATTTCCGGTTGGAAAAACTTTATGACTCGAGCTTTTAAAAAAAAAATGGTTTGAAAATTTGTTTTTTTTTTTTTTTGCTTTCATCATGAGTAACGATAATAATAATAATAATAAGTCATGATTAAATTAATATCGGAATTATTTATCGATAGCTGCTTTATAACAAAAAAAAAATTTTTTCTTTTATTTATTTTGCGCTAACACAACAAATGATTTTGTTTATATTATTCGGTTAGTAGTTTGGTTATTCATATCCTTTTTTAACGATAACTATTTATTTAATAATTAGTAATGGCGTGGTGGGTAATGCGAATGATATTTATTTTTAAAGGGCGGAGGTATTGGTAAGAGTCTAGAGGAGGACATTGATTTGGATGGTATGAAAAATAAAACGATTCGAAAAAAAAGACTAACCGGTCATTTTAATACTTTGATGGGTCACATAAGACGAAAATCCGGTCCTTCTACTCCCGTACTCGGCCGATTTTCATTCGAGGGTAAAAACGATGAAGCAAAAGAAGCTGAAAAAATTCGTGATGGCTTTGGAGTAAATTTTTCTTTTTTTTTTTTAAATGGAAATTTATGAATTTGTCTTTTTTTTTTGCTGCTCCTGCTGCTGCTGCTGAATTAATAGTTAACCGCAAACAGCATCGTATGCAAAATTATACTTTGCTTCAATCCGTTTACAATCAATGTTGAAAAAAAAAATAATTATTTAACTTTTTCTCACACGTTTAACGGTAATTTTATGGCTTTGATTTTTTTTTTTTTTTAATTAAATAAATAATATTTTAAAAATATGATTTCGATTGTGTGATTTATCACAATTTTAATTTCACAAAGCTAAACTAAAATTTAACCATGGCTATTATTATATAATTTTTATGATCGTTTGTGAAAATCATCAAAAAATTAACAAACTGACATTTTTTTTTTTTTTTTTTTTTGATATAAACAAAAGAAAACTAAATAAATTTATTACTTATTATCATCAATGATGTTTCCTTTTAATGGCTAAATTTTTTTATAAAAAAAAAAAACATAATTTTTCGCTTAGAAATAATCCAAAAAAAAAAAATTTTAAAGTTTAACATGTGATTGTAGTTTGCATCACTAATTTAAATATCAAATATTTGATTTGATTTGAAAAAAATTTTTTGTGTATTAAATTTCAGAAAGTGTTAAATAATAATGGAAAAGCTTTAATTGATGAAGAATGGTTTCATGGTGTTTTACCAAGGGAAGAAGTGGTACGATTATTAAGGCACGAAGGTGATTTTTTAGTCAGGGAAACAACAAGAAATGACGAATGTCAAACCGTTTTATCCGTTGCATGGGGAGGACATAAACATTTTATAGTTCAAACAAATTTGGAAGTAAATAAAAATAAAACAGAATAAAATTAACGGTTTAAATTTAAAAAGAAAGGGGATTATCTTTTTTTTTTTTTTTCTCACCTTCAGGGACATTTCAGATTCGAAGGACCGTCTTTTCCAACAATACAAGAATTAATTTTATACCAGTATCAAAGTGGATTACCAGTTACTAGTCGATCGGGAGCCATATTAAAAAAACCAATTTTAAGAGAAGTTTGGGAACTTAATAATGATGACGTACAACTTTTAGATAAAATCGGAAGGGTAAATTTTTAATTTAAAAAATATTTTTTTTTTTTTTTTCCACATTTTAAATAATAAGGTTGAAAATTTTGTTTTTTTTTTTTTATCATTCGTTCATTCAGGGTAATTTCGGTGATGTTTACAAAGCTAAATTAAAATCGACAAATCAAGAAGTTGCCGTGAAAACGTGTCGCGTTGCTCTACCCGATGAAAACAAAAGAAAATTCTTACAAGAGGGTCGGATTTTAAAACAATACGATCATCCGAACATAGTCAAATTGATCGGGATTTGTGTGCAAAAGCAACCCATCATGATTGTCATGGAACTCGTTCCCGGTGGTTCGTTGCTTACCTTTTTGAGAAACAACGCCTCGACTTTGACGCAAAAATTACTTTTGAAAATGTGTCGGGATACCGCTTCCGGTATGCAGTACCTGGAATCTAGAAATTGCATACATCGAGACTTGGCTGCTAGGAATTGTCTAATCGGTAATTAATCTCGAAATCGAAATTGTTTCAAAACAAAGTTTGAAAACTTTTTTTTTTTTTGTAAAATATCAGGGTATGAAAATATGGTTAAAATATCGGATTTTGGAATGTCGCGAGAAGAAGAGGAATACATTGTTTCCGATGGAATGAAACAAATTCCAATTAAATGGACGGCACCGGAAGCTTTGAATTTTGGTAAATACACATCACTTTGTGACGTGTGGAGTTATGGCGTGTTAGCGTGGGAAATTTTTGCCAGAGGTGGTGTTCCTTATCCCGGATTATCTAATTCGAAAGCGAGGGAAAAAATAGACGGAGGTTCGATGATGTTTATTTATTTTTTTAATAAATTAAAACGAAAATTGTTTATTTTAATTTTAAAATTTTCTATTGATATCGATTGTGCATGGACAGGTTATAGAATGTCAGCACCGGAAGGAACTCCAGAGGAAATTTATCGTTTAATGTTACGATGTTGGGAATATAAACCGGAAAATAGGCCTCATTTTACGGAAATATATAATATCGTTAACAATTTGTGTATTAAATTATTTGATGAATAATAATCAGGTTTACTTTTATCGCTAAAATAAATGTTATTTGTGATTTATAAATAATTTATTTTAATATTTTTTTTTTTGTTTTGAAAATATATATATTTTTGAAAAATATAAAGAATATTTTAGTTTAAAATTAATTCATTTTGGTTTTTGACAACTACGATTATAAATTCTTGAGGTATTACTTTCATGAAATAAATTAAAAATAACGTTTAAATTGGAATAGAATGACTAAATTTGACCGTTACGAATAAGCACATACAGAATGCGCGTTTTATCGGGGCCTTTTTTTTTTTAATTCACCGCATTCCGAAGTTTTTTCCATTTCCTGTCGATAACAGCGCCACTAGCGTGAGGCGGTATAAATAAAATTTAACCAGTTCGAGTTGGGTTTCGGTAATAGGATTGATGTGTTCTATTTAATGGAGTTTTTCAATTTCAACGAAATCAAAATCGATTAATAGAAAAAATTTTAATTATCGAAAATGACATCGTATTATTTGAGTAAATTATTATGTGTCGTGTTTATAACAATATTGAGAAATTATTTAATTATTGTGGAATCGAAAAATTTTACAATTGAAGAAAAAATAAGAAATGATCCGGATTTATCTGAGGTAATGTAAAAAAAAAAATCGTTAATTTTTTTAAATTGAATCCAACATATATTATTTATACGGGTTTAAAATTAAACATGAGCTAATAATGTTTTACACACGTATAAAAAATATGTTTTAAATTATAATTATTTATTTATTTATTTGAAAAAAAAGTGAATTTACGTTAATGAATATTTGACGATTGATTTAATTTTAAATAAACATACAATTCATTGAGTAACGTAATTCTATTTTCGACTAACGATTAACTGAAAAATTTCTATCGATAATTATTCATGTCAATCAAATCTTATATAGAATCTCAAAAATTGATAATTATTTATTATTTTAATTATTAAAAAATAAATAAATTTGCAATAATCATAATAACAACGACAATACCCCCCCTTTTGTCATATAGTAAAAAAAAAGGATAAGATTATTCATTTCATTTTTTTTTTATTATTTTGGGTGACCTCATAAACCTTTTTTTTTTTTTTTCATGTCGAACGAAGCCTAAAAAAAAAAAATATAAAAATTAACTGTCACTATATATAATCGTATAAAACTAAAAAAACCCCCTCCCTCCCCCTTTTTTCAAGTCGGAAAATGATAAAAAAAAAAAAAAAGAAAATGAATGTAATTTCAATTACACAATACACAAAAGCCATTTTTTTTTTTTTTCGTTCAAATCGATTTTAAACAATATTAAACAAATTAAATAATAATATTAATTTAGTTTTAGATTTTTGTTAAATGACACTAATTAATGTTACATATATAATATTATTATTATTATTATTATGACTACTATTTTAACTTTTGTTGGTCTTTTTCAATTTATACTATTTGATTGTATGTATATATATATATATGAATAATCCAAACACATAATTTGCACGCTTTTCAATTAAATACTTCCTTTTTTTAGGGTTAACGCTTCGCTAAATAAATTTATATCACAATAAAATTTTCAAAATAATTTACACTGTTGCATTTTCTCTTATTGTTTATATCGGATAACATTTTCTAGAAACAAAAGAAAACATAAAACCAAATTTAAAAAAGTAGAAATTGTTGTTGTTGTTGTTGTTGGTGAGGTTTTTGCATAAAAATGATTAACTGTTCGTATGATTTTCCATGTAGGTAATGGTTGTTGTTGTCAGGGTTGTGTTTAAACAATAATAATAATAATTGAATGGTAATAAAATCGAAATTCCTTCCCCCCCCTTCTCCTCCCCCTTTCAGTTTAGTTTAATGTGCGTAAGGGTTTTTGTTTGTCGTTTGTTTTCCTTTTATACATTTAAATAAAAAAAAAAAATATCTTGATACGATTATGCATACGATTCAAACAGTATATTTAAATTGCGTGAGAGGATTTAAAGGTTTGTTGTGTCACGTGTTCATAAGGAAAAAAAAAAAAAAAAAATTAAAACGTGAATAATAATAATAATTTTTTCAGGCATATAAAACACGAAAGGAAAATAAATTTTATTTTTTCTTAAATAAACCGACAGTATTGAATTTAAAGGCTTCTCCCCAAAAAAAAAACTAAAAAACTAAAAAACTAACCATCATTTAAATCATTCTTTAAATATAAAAGAAAAAAGGGTTGTTATATTTTTTAAACTGGGAACCATTTGAAATTCATTTAAATCTTTTGTACGCCATTATTCTATTACTCTTTTTCTAGTACATTTTTTTTTTATTATTGTATTCATTAAACTTTAATCTTTATTCTCTCTCTTCTCTAAACTCTTCTTTGAATAAACCAACAAAAATTAATAATAATAATAATAATAATATTTTAAGTTAATCTTTATTAATTAATCATCGTAATAATAATAATAATAATAATAATAATAAATTTTTTTTATTTTACTACTCAAAGAGTTTTTCATATTCTTATTAATCGTCCGACATTTTTTTTTTTTTTTTGGTTCCTGAACGAAAAAAGGGAAAAAAGGGAATAAGGCGCTATTAAACAATATAAAAATTTTTTACGTTTCATACACATTTGACACCATGTTTTTTTTTAAATAAATATATATGGCGGATGTACCTGATCGCATGGATGAATCAAATGATTGTACCTGGGATAAAGAAAAAAAAAAAATTTTCCGAATTATTTTCATACGATATAGAGTTTAGAGAAAAAGAAAATTTTTGGGTGGAAAATTTGAGTTAGTTTTTAACATATTTAAAATGATTGATTGATGTGTATTTTATGAGTGGGGAGGGAGGGTAATTTATCGAGCCAATTTTTATATTACGAAAAAATTTATAAACTCTCTCATATATATATATACTTCAAATGAAAAGATTGATCAATTTATTTAGTTTTTCGTTAATATTATTATTATTATTATTTGTTTAAATGACGTCTTATGATGTCGTTAAAAATTGTTTATATTTCGTAATATTGAAAAAAAAAAAAAAAACCTCATTCGTGTGATTATAAACAAAACATATAAATAGAAAAAAAAAAAAAAAAAAGGATTTTTCATTCGACATAATGAAATCATTCAAGTTTTTTTTTTTTTTTTTTTTTTAAATGTCAAATTATAAACAAAATAAATTTTTGGTTCGAATGGTTTTTAAACAAAAACGTTTTTTATTATTATTATTATTATTTATTTAAATTAACGAAGGGTAAAAAAAAAAAACTGAAATGAAATTATTTAAAAAAAACGATGCGAATGCTATAGAAATATCGTATCATCAATATGTATATATATATATATATTATTATTATTATTATTATTATTATTATTATTATTATTATTATTATTATTATTATTATTATTATTATTATTATTATTATTATTATTTCGGTGTCAGGCTCGTATTACACGAGGTTGAAATGGTGGCAGGCGTCACGTTGACGCTTTTTTCAACCCCTTTGAATTTAAAAATCACCCCCCTTTTTTTTTAAAAAAAAAAAAATATAATAATGCAACAATAAATACATATTTTTTATTATTGTTTGTCAAACCTTTTTACTATTATTATTATTATTATTTCGAATTTGAACTTTGACCTTAATTAAAACGAATTCAAATCCTTGCGTAGAAAAAGGTTTAAATGAATTTAAAACTTTTATAACAATACGATGAACTTTACTAAACTAAAAAAGGAAAAAATTTACTACATTTACTAAATTACCAAACAATTATTTTAATAAGAAATCTATTAAATTTATTAACAATGACAAAGCATCATCATCATCATCATCATAATCATCATCATCATTATTATGATTCTACGTTGAATTTAATTTGTTTTTAACAAGATGATCATTTTTTATGATGGTCTAACTAACAGACTAACTAACTAATATTTTGGCCAGGATATACGGTTTTAAGCACATGCGTAACGGTCAAAATGTTTTTTTTTTTTATGTAAGAAAAAAAAAAAAAAGTTAATATAGAACAAAAAAGAAAAATCTTCTGCTTTTAGATTTCCCGCTGTTTTATATCAATCTGTACAAAAAAAAAAAAAAAAAAAGGAAAATTGTTTAAATTTTCTCTCTTCATTTCTTTTTCCATATAATACTAATAGAGATTTTATTTAATTTAATTAAACGTTTTATTAAATTACTCATTGATAAAAAGTAATAAAAAAGGAGTTTATATATATATAAAAAAAAAAATAATAATAATAATAAAGAATTAAAGTAATTTTTTGTAAATCAGGCGTCGTTCTTATATTTATTCCCGTTTTTTTTTTCTGGATCACAACCGTGACTTAACCGTATTAATAAAGTATAGGGTCAAAAAAATTTTATATCACGCCTATAATAGTAATTTATTACATAAACAAACTCCATTATTAATTACTTTTAATAAAAACATGGCGTATAAATTATTTATTATTATTATTATTATTATTTAAAAAACCGTGAAATCCATTTCATTAATTTATTTATTTATTTATTTAAACTTTAATGGCGGAAAAAAAAATAAAAAAATAAATAAATAATGTAAATAAACAATTTTTTTTTTGTTCCAATTGCGATGCGCATTTGGAAAAAGGTAGAAAGGAAAAAGGACAGAATAAATCCGGGGGACAAAAAATCAATATTAGAGTTAGTTATGTGGCGCCACACATATTTTCCCAGTTATCGGTTTCCCTTTTTTCCCCTTTTTCCCTTTAAAATATTAAACAAAACGTTCTTGTATATTCTACTGACACATAATATTACAAAAAAAAAAAAATTTCCCTTTCGGAAAATTAACAATAAGTGTTACAGAAGAAAAGGTTTTCATTCATCGACTTATTTTCATCTTTTTTTTTTTTTTAAATTTTAAATTAAAATTTTACTTTTCGTAACAACAGCAACAACAGCAACAGCTAAATTGAAAATTTTTACCCAAAAATAATAATAATGATAAAGCGAATATTTTTCACGTTTAAAAAAAATTTTTTTCCCCCGTTAATCTTTTCCAATATGGCAGAAAATCCATTTTAATACCGTTTGAATTTAATCGTTTTTTTAAAAAAAATTATTATTATTATTATTATTATTATTATTATTATTATTATTATTATTATTATTATTATTATGAAAACGAATTGAGTGTAATTAATAATTTTTTAAATAAAAATGTTTATTTTTCTTTCCCTTTTTAAAAAAAAAAATAATTTAACCCGAATAAAATACTCGAAATATTCATCAAGAGTTTTGTTGTAATTAAAAAGGAGTCGACCATAATATTTTCAAGAATATAGATAAAACCAAAATCCCTTAAATAGAAAACAACAACAACCGCACACACACACAAACAACAACAACAACAATAAACAACTGCACCCATCTCTTTCATTAATTCATTCATTCATTAACAAACTAACGAAAAAAAAAAAAAAAAATGTTCACCTCGATAATTATTATTATTATTATTAATAATAATTTTTATAAAAAATTTTACAACTAAATAATAATAATAATAATTATTTTTTCGCATTTTTTCCCTTTTCGATTGTTTGAATGCAAATTAATTTATGAATGAATGGAAAATTGCATTGCAACAACATATGCAACGTGAATGCATTCAAAATGCATTTTCTAATGCGCGTGTCGTGGTAATTTATTTTAAATCTGAATGAAAATTTTTTGTTTGTTTTCTTTGGTGTAACGGTCAATTTGGTTGACCGTACGAATCATAATACGAATCAGTTCGAAGTGGGGGGGAGAGGAGGGAGGGATTAACATTATTAATCTTCATTAAAATCAAAAAAGTAATGTTTGTTTGACAACATAAAAAAAAAAAAAAAAAAAAAAAAACATTATAAGGAGTTGTTTGTTTATACCCTTAAATTTACTTTATATTGAATTGACATTATGATTTTTAAGGGTTGGAAAAAAAATTGTATGCGAAAGGATTGTTAAAAAAAAAAAAAAAAAGGAGAGTAGTAAGAAAAAGGTAGGTATCGGTTAGGAGGGGAATTTTGACCCTTTCGTCATAGAAACTAAACAAAAATTCACTCGAGTGTAAAATAAAATAAAGTAGAAAATGTCAGGAGGGAGTGGGGAGGGGTTGGGGTTGTGCGTGAGCGTGTTCTTGTAAAAATGACGTAATATTATAAAAAAAGGGAGAAATATTGTTGTTAATTGTAAAGGGGTTGAAACCTCATCGTAAATAAAACTTTTTTTCCTTTTTTTTTCCTTTTTTTTAAATTTGTTTTACAGGGGGAGGGGGGGGGGAGGAAACAAACAAATTTGGGGAGGAGGAAACAAAAATTAATTTAATTTGTTTTTTTTTTTTTTTTTTTTTTTTTCAGTTTTATTCGTTATTAGAAAACAATCTTGTTGCCAATGCAACTCTGTCGTATAGAACATTGACAGTTTTTGCACCAACAAACAAAGCATTTCAAAATTTTGAAGCAACGTCGGTTAAAGAATCATTGGTCAGTTATCATATGGGTAAGTAATAAAAACCACAAAATTTAATTTTCCTTTTTTTTTTTTTTTGGTTTAAAGAGGAATTGGGTCAGGGAAATGTCAAATAAATGCTGATGTAAACTTTAAACTCGAATCCAACAATTTAAAATAAAAGCGAACCTTTTTTTTTTTTTAATTATAATAAATAATTATTATTAATTTCAGCAACATTACCATTGACGTTAAGCGAAATGACGAGCGGTCAATCGGTACCAACAGATTTCGAAGGTAATCCTCCACTTTGGATAACTAAAAATCACAGAAATGAAATTTACGTTAACAATGGTAAAGTAATAATACCGAAAAGTAACGTACAAGCTTATAATCAAAATAAAAAAAAACAGGTAATTTTTTTTTTATCAATAATAATAATAATAATTATAATTAACAAATAGTAAAAAAAATTGTTTTTTTTTTTTTTTTTTTTTTTTTCAAAGGTTTTACACATGATTGATGAAGTTTTGGAACCTGTCATATCATCGAATCCAAGCGTATTTTTATACAATCCTGATGCTTATCAATTTCTTAACCAGAGTGAAAGCATAGGTTTGGGTAAACACAGAGTTCGATCCTTTCGTCAAAGGGTCATACTTAATAATAAGGAAACCATTTATCGTGCCGATGGTCGTTATACCTTTTTCATACCCGTCGACGAAGGTTTCATGGTAAGGATTAACCTTTTCTATTGAAAATTTTTCCCTAACGTTAATAAATCGATTTACGATATACGGGGGCGGAGAAAGGGGCGGGGCGTTGTCCGTTTTCTTTTCTTTATTACTTGAGAAAACTTTTACAAAAATTATTTATTAATACACTTTTCGCGCCAAATTTTAAATTTTAGAGGGAATAAGGGGGGAAGGGGAGTGGCGGTGGGGGGAAAACTCAAGTCGTTAACTTTAACGAAAAATTATATATAATAATTTGATAATTGAAGTAACATTTCATGGCAGTTAAAAAAATTATTGTCTTACAGAAGCGGTTTAAAAGAGAGAGTGATGCTATTCCTCCACAATTGGGTGGAAGTATTTTCTTTAACGTTACAATCAAATCTTTTGCCGATTTATTTAAAGTATGTAAAAAAAAAAAAAAAGCTCTACTGAACAAAAAAAAAAGCTTTGGCTTGAGCTTTTTACGTTTTCCAACAAAAAAAAAAAAAAACCGAGCATGTTTACCTGATTAAAAAAAAACAAAATGAAGGATCGAAATGATTTTCTCTTATTCCAAATTTTAACTTTTTCGTACGTCTTGTTGCCTCGAACGCACTCATTAAAAATACATTCGTTGCATTTGCCATTTAAATAATAATAATAATAATTATTATTATTATTATTACGTCGTGGCTTTTGATCGAAGCTTGTGGAAAGAAAAAGAACATTCGTCAGCATATTATTATTATTATTTGTTGCATACAAAATATTATTGTAAGAAAAAAAATAATTTTTTTAAAAAACTTTTTCAAGTGTAAAAATTACTCATAAGAATAAGTAATAATAATAATAATGTATGTAATAGGGGGTCCAACGATGATGATTCAAGTTTAAAATAAACGCTTTCATCCGAATCTATCAATTCAAGGTCGTTTTATTATTATTATTATTATTATTAGGGACACAAAGAGAGTTGAAAAACAATCTTAACTACTCTCATTTTTTTATACTCGGGTTTTTTTTTTTTGGGGGGGGCCATTCGATTTCACAAAAAAATATCTCATCATTTGTAATTAAACAAAAAATTCGGTTACAAATATTTCCAGGAAATAATTAAATCCGAACAAAAGAATTCGTAGATGGACATTTGTTACCTTTTTTTTTTTCGGGGGGGGGTGGGGTGGGGGAAGGGAATTTCGGGGAACGTTTTCGATTCGAAAAATTATTTCCGCGTAATTTAATTCATAATTTTTATGAATCAACAACGCGACACGCGTAAAATAAACAAAGGAAAGGAAAATACTCGCAAAAAACACTCGAATTTTCCTCACTCTCTTTAACCTTACGATTCTTTCGCTTTTACAAAAATTTTCATTTAAACAAAAAAAAAAAAAATATAATAATAATAATAATATAAACTTTTAACATTAATAAAATTTAATTAACAAATAATTTTCCTTTTTTTTGTAATGAATTTTCCTCACGTTAACAATCGGAAAAACTAAAAAAAATTTTCCGTTAAAAAAAAAAAAAAAAAACGAACGATCAATAACTCATTTTATTATTAAAGCTTTGCGAGTATAGATATTTATTATTACAAATGGATACGTAAACAACCTTTTTAATTAAATAATAATAATAATAATAATAATTTTTTGTTTTGTTTTTTTAGCCTCCCTCAAGACCGGAAAAAATAGATCAAAAAGTCATCGATGGACACGTTATACCACATCACGTTTTATTTACTAGTGCAACTCCACAAGCTATTGAATATAAAACTTTAGCTTTTCACGACATGATGAAAGTAACAATATCATTCACGCAACAAAACGATGGAAAACATTCTAAAAGTAAGTTAATGGATTTCCTTTTAAAAATTCCTTTTAAAAAAAGGAATTTATATATCGAAAAAAAAAAAAAAAATAAATTTTGATGAAACTCTTGAAAGTCAATTTTTTTTTTTTATAAATAAATAAACAAACAAACCCTACCAGGTGGTAGTGATGGTAGTAGTTCGTACCTATTTATTTAGGCAGGTGTACCTTAAAAAAAAAAAAAAAAAAAACGAACAGCTGGTGAATTAGAAAAAATGATTTAGCTACCCTTTTCCCTTACCCTCTCTCTCTCTCTCTGTCTCTCTCTTTCTCCTCTCTCTCTCCTCTCTCTCTCTCTCTCTCTCTCTCTACCTCTCCCCTCTCTCTCTCTCAATTAAAATCTTCGTCGACCGGTAACATAACACCAAAAAGGGAAAAAAATTTAAGTTGTTTTCATCATCATCATCATCAACAACCATATTGAAAATGAAAAATTTTATTTTAGTGTACGTGAAAAGTCATACGATATTGGGAGATGATAGTCATCCCACGGGAGTCGTACTCGCTGAAATCGTTAAAGCCAACATTCCAGTTAAAAATGGCGTCATACATTTAATAAGGCATCCATTGATGGTTGTCGATACGACGGTTGAACAATTTTTAAAGGTTAGTAATCAAATGAATTATTTCTTCAATTCTATTAAATATTATTGGAGTCATTTAATCAATTCATTTATTTATCACATGTAAACGAAGCCAATGAATGAATTTAAAATAAATAATAATAATAATAATAATGATATTATATACAAAAAAACCACTTATTATAAATAAGATATTTTTGTTAAGTTTAAAATGACTGACTTGATTTTTATTATTTTTTTTTTTTAAATAATTTTTTATTACAACAGTACAAATTTTTTTTTTTTTTATTGCTTTTGTTTAAAAAAATAATAATAAAAATAATAAATAAATAAATAAATCGAAACGTTTTATTAAATATCCATCATGATTGCAAAAGAACAAAAAGGCATCATTACGTATTATTATTATTATTATTATTATCGCGATGGCAAACGAACAAAACATTAAAAAACATGGCGGCCATTAATTATTTTTTTTTTTTCTTTTTACATTTGAAACAAAAAAATTTTTTTTTTTTTTCGTGGTGGTCATTGCACTTGTGTCCATTCAAACCTATCACGAAGTAATAAATAGGAAGAGAGAGAGAAAAATTTAAAATTTTAAACGTTGGTAGCCATGCGCAAGCGATGCTCACTGTCTAACGGTATTCGTAAATTAATTTTTTTTAAATTATTTTTTTCGTCATCAATTAATTTTTCGAGGCCTTAATTTTTTTTTTTTTTTTTTGGAAAACAGGATGTTTAATTATTATTTTCGGCGACTAGCAGAAGACAAAAAAATGACAAAATTAGAAAAAATCGTTAATTTTTTGTTTAAATCCAAAAACTTTTAATAATCGTATTTCATTGGCTTCGTTTCATTTTTTTTTTTTTTTTTTTGAACTTGATGTTAGATAATTTTTGTTTTTTATATACATAATTGTTTAACAAACGGTTAATTTAATAGATGTATTCATTACCTCATACCTATTATTATTATTATTATTATTATTATTATTCTCTTTTTTTTTCTTATAACAATTACCGATCGAAGTCGTTTGAGGTAAACAATTAAACAATAATATACTTATTATAATAATAATAATGAAAATAATACGAATAACATTTTTTTTTTTTTTACGAATTAAATAGTAAACAAACTAATATATTATTAGTAGATGCCTAAGACAAAACAAACAAACGAAAACAAACAAACAAACAAACAAACAAACGCAAAATTTATGTACTTGAAAAGAAAAATTTTTTTTTGTATTTAATTCATCGTCGCACAATAAAGCTAAAAATTAAATTAATTAATCAAAAAGCTTTTATCATTATATATTATTATTATTATTATTTTGTTTTACAATGCCCGCGTAAAGCTTTTTTACAAACACACGCGCACACGATTGGTGAATGAGGCACACGAGCTTATTATTTAAAAAAAAAAAAAAAAAAAAATTTTGATGACGTCACAATAATTTTCCTTCCGTTTAATTACAATAATGCATGTTTTCCCTAAATTTTCTTTTATTTTCTAAATCGCAGCTTGTTTTTTTTAGTAGTAGTAAGTAGTTTTAGATTAGAAAATAATAATAATAATAATAATTAAAAAATATCTTTGTCAACTATCATTAAAAACAATAATTTTAAATTAATCGATTCTTATTAATTAAAGTTCGATTACTTTAAAAATTTTTTTCTTTTCTTTTGTACCTATTAACAAACATATTTCTTAATATTGATGTTTGTTGCTTGCATGGATGTTGTATGGTTTCATCTTCACCTAGGGCATTGTAAGTATTTTTCTTTTTTTTCTAAGGATATTTTTAAATAATAATAGAAAGAAGTAATAGACAGAAAGTAGTTGTAGTTTTTAATTTGGAGATTAACGGAAAAAAATAAATAAAAAAAAAAATTTTACGCAGGAAAAAAACGACGGTCCCCTGTACAGATTTTACAAAATAATATTAGATGCCGGAGGTGATTTTATCGAAAGAATAAATAGGAGGCATTCTGGTGTCACGTTATTTGCTCCAAACAATGCTGCATGGTCGGAAATGCATTTGGACGGTGTCATAAACGATAAGAAAAAATTAAGAGAAATATTGGATTTACATTTGGTCGAAATGAAATTACCCATGGATGTTATAATGAGCAACAACGATAAAGAGGTTAATTTCATTTACGTCATTATTAAAATCATTTTATGTAATAAATAATATAAATAAATGTATTTATTTCCGGTATTAAAAAAAAAAAAAAGCTTTTTCAAGTTGTCACTTCCGGTGGTAGAAAAAATCTTTATTTCAACGTCGTCGTGAGTCCAAACAATAATAAAACTCTTACAGTAGAAGGCGGTGGAGTTAACGCCACCGTCATACAACCGGATATAGCTGCCGAAAACGGTATAGTCCATATAATTGATCACGTGTTAGGTGTTCCATTTCAAAATGTCCGCGATAAATTGGCATCCGATCCGATGCTCAAGTAAGTTTTAAATAAAACAAAATTTACAAATGAAAAAAAATTTTCACACGCACCATTTTACGCCATTTTTATTTATTTTTTTTGCAGCAAAACGTTTCATTTGGGTGAAAGAACAAATTTTAACGGTCAATTGAAAAATTTAAATCGTAAATTTACTTATTTCGTACCGAGAGATTATGCTTGGCAAAAAGCTGAAATTATGTTTCCATCGGCTCATAAAAAATTATTCATGCCCGAATTTGGTTATCACGTAATTATACGCCATATTTATTTAATTATTAAATGATTTCGATTCCTTTTTATTAATTATTTATTTATTTAGGTTCGACAAATATTAGAAAGACATTTGGTAATACACGATAAAGTATTCACAATGGCGGAATTGAAACAAATGTCAAACGATACAACAACACTTCCAACATTACGAGACAGTCTTCAAATAAGAGTTAAAGAAGTTGATAAAGGTACGTATGAAGGTAAAATTTTCATTCATTTCTTTCCAAAATGCCCCCACCACCCCTCATCCTTTATCATATTATCATTATCATTTTATAAAAAAAAAAAAAAAAATGGAAAAATTTTTTTTGAGGTGTTTTTAAATTTGTGGTTTCAGGAACGCATGGATATAATTCTTTATCCCATGTGCCAAGTCCAGGTAGAGGTGAGCATTTTTATATTATCAGAACAAAACACGTTCGTCCATTTTGTTGTGCATTCACATCCTTCCCCCCCCACTCCCACCCTCCAGTTTTCCCCGGTTCAACCGTTCGTTCGTTCGTACGACCTCCATGAAATTAATAATTAGAAACGGTTATTTTCAGGTTACGTCATCGATTGGCGCGGTGAATCGATACCTGTTTTCAGACCGGATGTACATTGCACGAATGGTATAATACACGTCATTGATAGAGTTTTCCTACAGGATAGTGACGTAAGAATAAATGGAGAACCGAGAAATCATTCATTTTCAATTTTAGCACATTTGACGTTGATGTTTTTAGTATTTAAATTTTATTTAAACTAGTCAAATTTTTCTTTTCTATTAACAACAACAACACAAAATGTCGATGGAATGTTTTTCTTTTTTTCCATTTAAATTCGATTGGGGAGAAGGGAGGGAGGGGAGGAGCGAGGGGGTAGGGGGAAAGAGAGAGGAGGAGAAAGAGAAAAGAAAAATTTTATTGAATTTTAAATTCATTTTTAGTTTAATTTTATTATAATTATTATTATTATTAATTTTGTCTTAAAACCTGATTGATAAATTGAGGGGCAACGAGTGCAGACGAATTTTAATATTTTTCTCTTACAGCATTATTATTATTATTATTAAAACGAGTACAATTACGCAGTTTTTAATTTTTATTTTAATAAAAAATGTTATTTTAAAAAATAAATAAATAAATTATATTTATTAAAATTAAAAAAAAAAAATAAATAAATAAATAGATTTATATAGTAAAGCGTTTATTAAATGATAATAATAATGATAAAAGCAGAAGAAAAAAAAATTTATGTTTGTATTGGTTAGTTAAAAAAAAAAAATATTAATATTAAATAATATATTATTAATTTTAATTTATTATTATTATTATTATCGATTAAATGTAATTAATTCTTGCCAAAAAAAAAAATTGTCTCTCGTTGTAAATAATAATAATAATAATAATAATAATAATAATAATAATAATAATAATAATAATAATAATAATAATAATAAGCAGAAGAAAATGAATAGAAAATGTTTTAGTTTTTTTTTCGTGGTAGTAGTTTTTTGTTTTGTTTTTTTTTTTTTTTTTGAATAATTATTTTAATTAATTATTTTATTTAAAATAATGATAATGATAGTAATAATAATAATGATGATGATGATTTTGGTGGATTATTATTATAACATTTTATGGACATATCAATGAGTTTATTTTTTTTATCGCTTGGGTTTAAATAAGTTTTTTCGATTTTTTTTCGATTTTCCGTTTTAATTATTATTATTATTATTATTGGGTTCTGGAACGTTGCGTTGAAGCCAGTCACGATGAATTGAATTTTTTTTTTTTTAATTTGAAGCGTGGGAAAATAATTAAAACTCATTTAAAATTAATTAATTAATAAATTTTATTTAAAAAATGACCGTTTTATTATTATTATTATTATTATTATTATTATTATTATTATTATTATTATTATTATTAAGTTAATAATACACCGAACGGTTTGAGAATGATGATGATGATGAAAAATTTAAAAAATAAATGATAATGATAATGTTTGATGTGTGTGAGTTTTTTGAATTTTATGAGGAGGTGATTGAATATTAGAAAAATTATGTCGGTTTTTGTGTGAGAATGCTTTTATTGCTCTGTTCAAATTTTCTTTATTTTTTTTGCAAAATAAATTTTATTAATTATTATCATTATTATTATTATTGGCTTAAGGTAATTGTTTATTTTTTTCGTAATATATTTATTAATTTAAAAAAAATAAATGAATCATCGACTATTATAAAAATGTCCTCTTTTTATGTGTAAATTATAATTAATTGAATAATTAAATTGTAAAAAAAAATTTAAATGCTGTGTTAAATGCTGAGAAATGCTATTTAAAAAAAGAAAGAAAATTCTAATGCCTGTATAAAATAAATCTTCAATAATAATAATAATAGAGCTTTTATTATCAATTTATTTAAAACGAATAAAATTTATTAATAATAATAATAGCTTTAAATTATTTTATTTTAAATAAAATATTTTTTAAAAATATTTTTTTGTATTTTGTTTGTGACGACAAAAGGTTTTATTATGGGTTCCTCAGAATTTTCCAGAATTCATTTCAGGTCTCGAATCGATTCCTTTGAAATAAAAACAAATGATAATGTGCCTAGCTATCAGCATCCAAGCCTAGCTCCAGTAGTTTTTGTCGGGTGGCTAAAGATGAGGTGGGCCTGGCATTATCGTGGTGAAAGACAATTCCATTGGGTGGCTCCGGTCGTTTTTCTTGGATGGTATTATTTAAATTAGTCAATTGTCGAATGTAAACCTCTGAATTTATGGTCTGACTTCGTGGCAGCAGCTCAAAGTTGACTATGCCTTTGTAATACCACCGAAATGATGACAGTACCTTTTTTTGGTGAATGTAAGCCTTAGAAGTTGTTGGTGCCTGTGTTCCCTTGCCTAGACCAGGATTTTTTCCTCAAAAAGTCATCATAGAAGCCCACTTTTCATCTCCGCTCACCATTCTTTCGAAAATGGGTCATTCGCATTGCGTTTAAGAAGCATATCGCAAAGACCAACTCAGGTTCCCCAAAGTAACGGCTCGGTGGGTCT